CATGATCTTGCAACAGTGATTAATTGACACTTGAATAAATCTGGACAATTGGCTTCAGTAAGTAGAGGGGTTTGACTCCATTCCCACTGAGTCCATGGAGCTGTTATCTGTGAGCTGCTCAGTACCTGTGTTGGGGGAGCTCAGTCTGGACCACACAGGAGACCTCCTCTCCCTGGCTGTAAGGTCGTGTGTCCAGCTGTCCCTTCTGCTGGGCCCCAGGGTCCCCAGTGCTGTCTGGGGTCCCAGCTGTGGACACTGTGTCCACCTTACCTGACCTTACAGCCCATCTGTCTTTCCTCCTGTGCTGTGTTTTGCTCCCCTCACAGGCTTTCTGGGGTCGAGTCTGAAAAGACCATGAACACACCTGAGTCAGAATAACCCTCCTCTTACCCACTCCAGCTCACTCTCCACTTTGTGTTGACCCTTCATACTCAGAGGACTCAGAGAGCAGAGAAGAGCTCTTCAGATAGCTGCAGAGGAAGGCTCAGGCATCATCGTCCTCCCCCTGCCCTGGATTTGTTGACAGTACTGGGCTATAAGTTCCAACAGTAATGTTTCGTGACACCGCTAATCTGCAGGTTGCCTCTTGCATGACATTATGATATACAGCAGTTTACCATGGCCACTAAACATTGTAAGTCTGACAAATCTTGCACTTTATGTAGGCCACTTCTTTCATATTCTAATACATCTCAATATAAACAATAAAAATACACAGCATTAATAACAAGTATTATTTCAAACAGCATGAACACTATTTATCAGTAGGAATTAAAGAGCATATTTTTGAAAAGTTTTAAAATGCAGTCTTTGAACCCGTATACAGGGTGTGTCAGGTACTACAATAATATGAAATCCAGTTTTTCAGTTTCGTATATCAACATAACAGAAATTTATTTGTATTCAACACGTGTATGAGATTTAAAAAGTGTCATTAGTGTGTTTAGTGTTTTCCTAGATTCCTAATAAGAATTACATAATCATTACATTATCCCAAAATCGAAAACTCACCTTCCGAAAGCACCAAGAAAAACATCCACAACACGGCATTGTGTTCTTGCAGTTAATGAGCTTTGATGCTTAAACGGGCAGAAATAACTAGCGGGCAGGTATTATGACATCATCAGGGTGATGTCAACATTGATTGCTGTGAGAAAACCTGGAGTCGCCCGACATTTAATACATCTCAACTAATAATAATAATAAATGTGATTATTTTAAAACATTATCAGTATAACGTGTCTAAATATTGTCCTTTGAATACTTCTTCTCTGAATTCAATTTAATCTTTAGTGAGCAGATAAAGGGTACGAAAAGCAGTGAACTGATTATATATCCTCCCGTGGCTTGTACGCCGCTCCGTAACTTACATTAATAGGCACGATCTTGCCTGCTGAAACAAGTCCTCTCTGTACAAAAAATATTCTCGATTTCTCACACTAGAATAGGCCTACAGTACCGTCTCATGCTCTCATTTTGAAGAAACGTGTTGTCAGTATGTACTAACACACGTAGGGTTCTGAGAGATCAATATTATTTTGGTAAGCTGAAACTGAAACATCAAGGCGTATATATAAAGTGAGTGAAACTTGAGTCTGGCGTGTGTTCGGTCGCATTTGGGTGTCACTTTAACATTAGTTCTGATACTGTGAGGGGCCCCTGCACTGGTGACTCTCGTAGGACAGCGGAGATATTGAAGGATCAGGGATATACTGTACTGTAGTGACCAGAGGAGCTCAATCTTCAGAAAAACAGGGTCGTTGTCAAAGCTGCTGCGAACGGTCATGATCCACAAACCTTAATCGGAAAACACTCTCAGAAGACAAATCGCAACTCCTGAAAATGCACGAGGTTTACATTTACAGCACTCCGTACACATGAATGTAGCGACAGCCTGTTGTAATAAAGCGAATTACTCCGAATTGACAGAATTGTTGGAACGACCTGTAGAAATAACGCAAACTAATCGCACAATAAAAATTAGGTTCTAAAAGTTGAATTTTTAAGTTTTATTGTTAAAATACGTACACATAAAGAATAATGCTTGACCAGCCTCTCGAACTGTACACTTTTCTGACAGGGTGTTAAGAAAAGATTTATTTAATAATCCGTAGTGTGTCTTTGATTAAGTAGTTGCATTAACCATGAAGAGGAAGGAAATAGTTTGTGTTTTTCTACGTTAATGATTTATACATTGTGTTGTTTGGATAGACAGTTCCCATTTTTAAGGTAAAATAAAATCTGTAGGCAGTAATTAAATATTCAATACTCTTAACTGCACCTATGCTCAGCAAAAATGCACAGTTTTCCAGGATTGATTGATTTCTGTGTTTTATTTAATAAAATAAAAGTGCGCCGGAAAAACACGTTAAGGTGATGCCCCGCCCTCAGCTTCAGGTCTACAGCGTGCACTCGAGAATGTGACTCCAGTCTGGTAGCAGGGTGGTCTGGGGGGCTCAGACCACAGGCTCTGCCGCGGGTCTCTCCAGACTCTGGGCCTTATGTCCCCCTCCTCTCTCTCCCGACGTCACTGCGCTGAGTGCCTGGGACCGAGGTGACCTTTTGGAAGAACTGCCCTGTGATGACCTCCTACATTTCAAACAAAAAGAATGATATTGAGTCTTAAGCACTTTTATGTAGCCTGACTAGATACATATTTGGAGGAAGTATGAAAGACGTTCGGCTGATTGTAGCATATGAGACCCATGAGAACATACAAACTCCACACAGACAGCACCCCAGGTCCAGAACTGGACCCAGAGCCCCAGCGCTGTGAGGCAGCAATCCTAATCACTGTGTCACCGTGCTGCCCATGATCAACATTTACTCCTTTTTTCACACGAGGCCAGGGAAACACTTACCTCGATGTGGATGGGGGCAGCGCTATGACCCGCGGCCTTGCTGTCAGAACCACCTCTCCCACACAAGCCTCAATAAGAATGTTCTGAAGTGTGTTCACGAGAATCTCCTCAGCCAGATCACAGAACTCTGGGAGCCTGAAGACAAGGAAACCCAAAAAGCATTCTTTTTTAACACCTTTTGCTGACTTTTCATGAGTGCCACCCAGGAGATCAGACCTTCAGCTGAGTTGTTAAAGGACTGAACTCAGTCTGAGCCTTTACTATATTATTAACCATCCTTCTTCTACTGACTCTGCGTCCCTCTATTTCCAATTCACTACTTTTAAGCTCTTCTCCATTCCTGCATAGCCAGCTTTTCCCAAATTATAAACTCCTAATTTTAGACTCATATTTTAGAGGATTTTGAAATTAAAAAAAGGATATCCTCTTAATTACATCCTGATTATAAGAGTACGTCACAGCAAGATGGCCGCAGGTACAGGTTGTAACTGTAGTGGCAGCAGTTTCAAGTTGTCATTCTTAAATAGTGAATAAAGGTTCAGAAAACGAACAGAGCATTTTTGTAATAGTTACATCCTAGTGGCAACAGTCTCAAAATGAAGCTATAGGACTCCAGGTACAAGTCACGTCAGGAACAGGACACAAGAAATGACTTTAGATTGTCTGTTACTACAGGCTAAATTAACGTCTCTGGTTCGGTACCTTTTTAACGTTCTTATGATATTAGAAACCACGAGTGCATCATGTTAGCATCGTGGAACACAAAGAAATTGAATCTTTGAGGTCCTTACCTCTTGATTGCCTCCTGCATCTCAAGTCGGTGCTCCTGCTGTTTGATATCCTGGGAATCTGCCTCACTGGGCTGAGACTCTGCTGTCACCGCACTGGGCAGATCGTCCCTGAGGGTATCCCGGGGCAGTGGGGAAGAATTTAAAGAGCGGCCCCTCTGGTCAGGCCCCTCCTGCTGCGGTGCCAGTGTAGGAGTTTGGGGGCTGCTCAGCTGGCAGAAATAGGGAACTGGCTCGGCCAGGCTGTCCGTCAGGGACTGCTGGAACTGAGGATCATCCAGTAGGCTCCTTACAATCCCCAGAAGAGACAAGTCAATAAACATCTAGATTATTATGTGTACGTTGCAGTGAGTTACAAAAAATGATTTGATTGGGGGGGGTTCCCAGACTTCAGTGTCTGTGCTGATGCTTCGAATTCATTTTCTCTTTGGGGAAGCAAAAAAAAGGAATATACAGTAGGATATGCAGTTAGGTAGGTGCAGATTTTAAAACGAGGAATGTTCAAGCAACCACATGAGTTGGGCTTGAAGAAAGATGTAAGATGTGAAAAGGGGGTTAACTGATTTCTTTCTGCACAAAAACTTCTTGTAACACAAGACAGTCCATGCTTAGGCACCTTTGAGTTATGGTGGGATGGTAATTAATTGATATGAAATTCCAAGTGCAAGATAAAGACCCCCCCCCCAACTAAGGAAAGATAAAACCAACCATTAAAAGTGTTCAAGGTCTTAGGAATGTCCAAACATAGGGGGCCCCCCATTACCATGGTGACAATTTGCATCAGTAGCAGGTGAAATTTGCTATATAAACTGGAAGTTTTGTACCTATATTTCGAGCAATACTTTGGTCTTATTGTTCCTTGCATGCAATAAACTCAGTTGTTTAAACTTCATCTCAGGTTCCAGAACTTATTTGTCTATTACTACAGGCTAAATTAACATCTCTGGTTCGATACCTTTTTAACATTCTTATGATATTAGAAACCACGAGTGCATCATGTTAGCATCGTGGAACACAAAGAAATTGAATCAACTGGACCTCCAGAGGAGAAAAAAATAACACTTAGGGTGGAAATGTTTGATACATTCACCATAAATCAGTCAACTATTACAAGCTGTTGAAATAGAATTAAGGGAACAAACTTAAAAACAAGACTGCAAAATTGCATAAAGGTCTGTATAATGTCTTTGGACCATTTAAGGTTTTTTGAAATGATTCATTTTGAAATCAAGGACCAAGAAACATTTAAATAACTAAACCAACCACCAGTTAACTGATACAGTGATATAAGTTATGTACGGTGATTTATGAGCTCAGTTAGAGTGAACCCCATTGGACACAGTGACACCCCAGGACAGAGCTTGGGAATACTGCTCTATGGTACCGGACTCCAGTCAGTCCAATGGGGTAACTGCATGTCCTACACCGTATACTGATCACTTATGATACTACAAAACCTGAGATTATGTGTCTCACAAGTCCTTAGCCAGTTTACTGAAGACTATGTTACCTGATCAATGAGGTCAAGATGCAGGTGACAATTTCCTTTTCTGGCCCGCTGCAGACAGACAGATCCGCTCTGGGGTCTGCTCTTTCAGTCTGTATTGAAGGCGAAGGAACCAGCTTGGGCTTCATCAGCCTGCAAGGAGAATATCAATGAAGACATTCTCAATCTGATCAGCCTCAAGAGTAACCAAACCTGTTTTTCTCCCAAGAGAAACTAGGGGTCCCATTTTAAAGTGTTTAGGAAATGCCAAATTATTATGTATGTACTGTATATATGCAGCAGCCAAAATATGGAATTAGATCATATCATTTGTGCTTTATCTACATTATTTTCGTATTGTATACTGTACAACCTTGGTCTATATGCTGCAACATCCATCCATCCATTTTCTAACTATTCTTTTTAATATAGAGGTTTGTGAAGGAGCCAGAGCCTATCCTGGAAAGCAAGGGGCGCAAGGCAGGGTACACCCTGGACAGAACGTCAGTCCATCACAGGGCAGACATGGACACAGAAAGACTCACTCACACCTCGCACCAGGGCCAATTTAATGTGGGCTATTAATTATTTTATTTGATAAGGACATTGTAGAGTGAAATATAACATTATACGTAAGTGTGGCCATTTCTGAACTGTCCTTGTCCCTGTTCCAGTCATGTCATGGTCCTGTCATGCCAACAGTTACACTATTAACTGAATATTTAAAAGTAAAATCTTTGTCTGTTACTTGAAATATATTTCTACTTTTTAGCCACAAGTGGATAGAGATCATAAGTAAAAACAATGTTCTCATAACATAAACATACATCAAATGCAAATGTTTGTGGGGTGGTTTCAAAGCTTTGACTCTGGCTTTGAAATTTCTGAGGTTATTGGTTCCATGCAGATGTAATAAAAGACAGTAGTAAAAAAAGCTCCATCTTGACCTGTGAGTAACATGTTTTTCCCACTTTTTCAGGTGTTCCCAGCCCTGAACCAAGAGTCCTACAAATCCATTCTGTTCCAGAATACTGGGGAGCTGCCCATCATTTTCAATCTGGACACAAAGGACTGTCCTGTGGTTACAGTGAAACCGACCAGTGGTCTGGTCCAGCCAGGGGCTCACCAGATCTTCACTCCGAGAACAACTCCAACCATAGATAATGATCAGAAATTGCACCGGTCTCTACAGCTGAATGCCTCTCAGGAGCACATTGAGGTGAATAACTGAGGATCTTATTATCTAACTTCAACAGCATGTTTGAATAGTTGTGTTCCAGTTTCCCACAACCCTTTAAAGAAGTCTAAGTTGCACATACACAGTGTTTCCAATTGTATAGACACACTCCACAGCTAGTTTTCGCAGAAGCCAATTAACGTACCAGAATGTCTTTGAACTGTGGCAGGAAACAGGAACAGTTGGAGGAAACCCATTCAAACACTGGGAGAACACACATCATCTCCAAGCAGACAGCACTCCAGGACTTGAACCCAGGGTATCAGTGCTGCAAGGTAGCAATGCTAACGGTGCACCACCATCCTGCCCCAGTTGCAACATATATACTGTAGACACTGAATATTGGAGAATATGTCTTAAGTAGAGGGAATGGCCTGGCATACGGTATGTCTTGTACTTTCTGAGGACCGTAATGTAGTACCTGGCATTTTCCTTATTGTACTTTGGTGAACAAGACTTTGCAAGACACATGATTACTGATGCATGTTCCTCTGCTGCACTGCTGAAGACAACAGCAAACCTGGCTAATGTGTTAATTTAGAAAGCTTCAATAGCTTAAAGGAACTAAAAGGACCACGAACAGGAAACAGAATTTACTGTCGGCGGCAAAAAGCTTCTAACCTGCTCTCCATCTCTCATACATTTTTTTTCAGCTACTGCACACTTGGAGTGCATGGTTGGAGCGACGCTCTTATCTCCACGCATATCGAAATCTAGCAAAATTGATGCGGTGTTATTTGGCAGCTGTAATCACCAGTGATGGGGATCTGTCTTGTTAAAAGGGGTGCTCTCTAATTATTTGGTAGGGCGCTCAATCAAAGGGCCTTACAAACGCTGGCACTGTACCGTTCCCCCCTCTCCCTGACCTGTGAATGTAGTGCGTGTGCAGCCGGGAGGGGAAGCTGCTCTGGAACTCCTGCAGAGAGTGGGAACAAGCCGTCACCCCCAGGTGGAGAAGGAAGGGTCGGGGAGCCTCGGGTCTCCGCCACAGCCGGCCCGCCTCCCTCTGCGCCCTGCGTTCCGATCGGCTGAGCCCCACGCCGTTTCCCGGCTCCGTGCGGCTCCGGATCGGGGGGAGGGTCTGTGCGGACGGAGAGAAAAGCACAAAGTTTGTCATTCCCAGAGTGGTCTGGGAGCAGCCATGAACAGTCACTCAGAGAGTCTGCTGCTAGTGTGTGAACAGTCCAGTGGCAAGGAGAAAGGAGTCATTAATTAGTCACTATTAATTCATGGAATTCACAATTTCTGAAAAGGCTTTCTTGTAGTTTTGCTTGTAGCCATTGTGATCTGGGTATTAAAGTCTATTTACTAGCCAGACTGAAGGTGACGAAGAAGATCGATTGCTTCTTTGTTGTAATGTGAGCCACTTTTTTCCCCCAAAACTTTAGCTCACTAAAAAAAGAAACTAAGATATGTATTTTTTTATGACACTGAGATTTAATGTTACATACCCTTTTCCTTGACAAATTCTTTTACACATGCCAAATGCCAGGACAATAATTGATATTGCTATAACTGCACTGCTGTTAGCATAGGGGAGGGGGACCCATGACATTGTAAACAAGCAGGCTTGTGATACGTCTCTTTTAACCCAATAGAAATATTACTTTGAATTTCAAGATTCTTTTGCTGAAAAATACTCATTACTTGTTAACGTTGCATGCAGATCACATTGGAAGTTCACGATTTTGTGCTGAATTCGAGATTTGTCCATTTTTTCTATACCACCAATGAATGTATTTTGTGATATTTGGACAGCAGTTCCCCTTTAAAGAAACGTAAAACTACCGATATGTGTCATGGAATTTTATCAAAGAAGAGCCAGGAGAGGTGTTGTCATTCACTCAGTAAGGTCTTTATTCATATTACAATATGGGAAAAAGCCATCACCCGTCTGTGCAGAGAAGTGAAAGCTGATTCAAAAGCAAGCAGGGAGAGCCCTTGTTTTATATCTTTTTTTAAGCTGATGCAACACTTCAAGGACAGGCAAAGCGGTAATTTTCCATTCCTTATAGGTTTCTGCTTTAAGCAAAGAAGAGCAGTTATTCAAATAGTTTCTCGTACTCCCTTCTTCAAGCAGCAGAGATAAACATTATTAAAACATCCTGTGCTCTTGACGAGTTGGGTGCTATCACACTTTGTTCTAAGTATCTAGCTGCTTGTGCAGCACAGCTCTGTCCGTAAACAACATTTTTAGGATAAAACACTTTTTCTCAGTAACTTTCCATTGCATATGTATTACCTTAGTCTGTATATAATATTTACTTTTTCACGTCGATATATTTGGTTTCATGTGAGGCTGGTACAGTGGCCTCCCCCACAAATCTGAGCTGGATGAAGGGGTTAGAAAATGGATGGATGGCTGTGATTTGTTACACAATTTTAAGTCTTGTAAAACCTTTGAAATGTATTTTGGCTTACAATCTAACAGCAGCTCATTTTTTAACTCTTTTAGTCAACAACGACTGTTTTGCCCGAAGCCAGAGGCGGGCAGGTTTAAGTTGAAGCTGTTAGAATTTAAATAGCCACTATTTAGTAAGTCAGCTGAATTCAGGCCAGGAGTTCGGCTAACAACCATACTTTAGAAGAAATCTGACTTCATAACCAATTCCAAGATCTCATTCCAGTTTCCTAATAAACAGTTATTTACTAAATTCACAACATTGCACACCACATTGACCAGCTAGCCTTATTTACCAAATTTGTTATTCTCCCGCTTTACTGTAAATTTGAAGGACTTGTCCTTCAAGACACAAACACGGACATCATATCAACAGGATATTACCTTATATTTTTGGACGCAAGTGTCCATTTGCTGGCCAGACCTTTTAGATCCCTACGATGAAGCAAAATGGGAAGAGAGGCAAAAAAGCTTTATATGAGAATGATGGGGAAAAAGTCATGCAAGACATTGCATTGTATGAGCACACTTATACAGAGCTTTGGTAAGCACTTTCTTTTCAAGACTTCATTTGAGGAAAGAAAAGCCATTCCTTAAAAACCACATGGGGCGACACTGAATTTAAAACATACAGTGTCCTACTTACTTTACTGTGTTTGTTCATAGTCTCAAAATATTTCCGACGTGCCAAATAAACATCATCCTTGCCGTGACCTCAGCCTTCATTAGAATATTTTGATACACATACACAAACTATAGTAGTTCATGTAGGGAGCTGCGTCAGCACGTGCAGGCTGCAGAGGAACAAGTAAAGGTTTATAACATGCTGAAAAAGAGAAGAAAAGAAACACACTGTTTCGGCTGTCACACCCGAAGAAGGCTCCACAGCCGAAACGTTGTGTTTCTTTTCTTCTTTCAGCATGGAATAAACCTATTACTTGTTCCTCCTACACAAACTACAGTATATGCTGACAGTGCTGCATTAGTGATTGATATGAACTTCCAACTGAATTAATTTGAGCAAGACGAAAATTACAGCTTTTTGTATCAAACCAAATTTGATGATGTGTCTTTGAAAGTGAAGATGGGACGTCCACATATACTGTATATACTGTACAGTCACATAAACAGGTAGAGATTCTGTGAAATCACTGGTTTAACTTTCTCACTGTAACAAATGCACATACTGTATAAGTATTTTGACACCCTCTAGTTACCTATGACAGACTTTCCCCCCAGTTGTACCAGGTCCTTTAGAGCTGTTACTCAGATAGTTAAACCACACCTTCATAAATAACAATGGTCGATATTACCAGTCAGTGGAGCTATAAGGCCGCAGAGAAGGGCCAATGGAAAATACCTTGGTCTGATCTTCTGCCTGTGGCCGGTTGGCTCTGTCAGTCAGGGTGAACTCATTCTTCTGCCTCTCCTTCTCCAGCTCCCACTTCTGTAGGTCTTGGCGATACTGCGCCAGGGCCCCTTCTGTGGTCACCTAAAAGCAGCACCCACAGGCTAAGCTATAGCAGGGGCTTGCTGTTCTGGGCAATGTCTGGGCACAATGCCAGCTCTTACAGTAAGTACAGCGACATTAACATTGTCAGACGTGACTTGAGGGGTATCAACCCGTGAAACATGTTTTCTGCGATAATGTTCTTAATTAGTTAACTTTAACCCTACAAATTAAGCATTTATCTCTCATGAGAAGGAAGCAGATTTAACTTGCAAGGATCCCTGTGCCGATTCATCAGAAACACATTATATTCAGTACTTCAATATAAAACGGAGGACACGATGAACTGTCATTAAGACACTTCTGAAGTTTAGCACAGTTTAAAAATGAGAAAGATGTCCAGGGTCTGTGTGCGTGGCGTGGGTGAGAGAGGCTGGAGACGTCTTTACAGTCTTACTGACAGTTTTATTGCCCTTTTCATTACAGTGGGGCATACATATCATGGAGGAGAGAGAGAAAATGAAGGCTGGACACAGAGGAGGGATTCATGCTGTTTATCTTATCTGACTACTATAAGTTTGTGATTACTGTTCTTTTTTTAAGTCAATCAATCTTAAGTAAATCAACATAAAGTCAATGCATTAGTACTTTCTTTATCATTGAGGGAGGTTTACTTATGTCTTTTAACCATACATACCATAGACTGTAATGGACATCAGTATGTGTAAATTTGGCTATTCATGACAGTTCTCTGCACCGAACCCTCACAAATGTTGAGACCTTACCTTTTTCATATTAGATGTTGATTAAAGGGTTTTTCTGCCATTTTGATTAATCATTCGTGATTGTGACATGCTTAAGTGTCGTTATTGCATAAACATTAAATCACCTCATAAGTGAGAGAGATGATTGGGCACAGAAGTAATGATGAAGTAATTCAATTTATCGAATGTCATGCCTGGTGAAAATTAAGAAGGAAGAGCACTGGTACAAATCAATATGCCACTATCTTCTAGAGAAAAGCATGTTCATTTTGGAAGCTCGACTAAGCTCGCTGTCGTACAGTAGGTGCTCACAGCCAGCCCTTTCTAATTAAGATGTTTTAGACACAATCTGTTAACAATAGGCCACAATCTGGAAGACAGTGAATCACAACACCGTTCCAAAATTGATACATCACCATCTTTGAGACTGCTTTCAGACTCCCAGTTCCACTGTATTAGAAATATCAGGTCATAAGAAATGGTTGAGGGTAACCTGACTACACAATAGTATATTAGACAGTACATTGGTCAAAATCCAGGACCTCAACATTTGGGCAGCATGACACAATGGCACAGAAATCTGCAAACTGGTACGAAGCATGTGTTGCAGAGGTATGGCCTGTATTGCTTTAGGACAAACGTTATTAGTGTCCACTTTTCACAGTTAATCAACATCAGCATTTGTCATGCCGATGACAATTATCGCTGAATATGTTGCAGTAATAAGTGATCCAAATTAAATTAATTATGTATTATGTTAATTATAAATTCATGCATTTATCATGTATCACAATACATAATGTTAAAATGTTTTTATTATCCTGTATATTTCTTTTTTGGTTTTTATACAATTTGCTACGTGTCTCAGTGAAACACATCTTTACAATCATTTTGATGGATGCTATTAATGTATTTGCTGTTCTTTCAATTTTTGTTTTTTACCTGTATTTTGTATTTGTTTTTTAGTCCTTAGATTCAGTTCACATGCAGATACAAATACAGATAAATTTCCACCAGGTGAAATATCAGCAAGTATGTATTGATTCTAAGTATCTAGCATCACATAGTGTCTTATACAGTACATCACAGACTTATCATACCTGACAGGTGAGGTCCAGGAGGTAGAAGCTGGGGCTACCAGAGGCATGAAGAGTGATTATACAGTGAGTGCTGTCTCCAGCAGCCAGCTCTCCACTCTCAGGATGTATGTGCACAGCCTGTGCAAAACACATCAACACAGCAGACTCATTGGCATTCACTTCATCTCTATACTGTAGCTTTCACTACAGTCTCACAGATCTACAGATGGGAAGAAACATTTTAGGTATCCATGACCTGACCTGGGGACTTCCCAACCTTCCCAACCTACAAAGCTCTCTGAATGGTTTTGAATCCACTCAGAAAGTGGCCTGCTGGTGTCACCTGTGGCTCCTGAGCTCTGCTCTCACTGTTTAGCCACTCTAGAGAATAACCGGCCTGAACTACTTGTTGTAAATTTGTATTGTAGCCGGCACGGACCATTTATGGAAACAGAAATGAGAAAGCAATATAAAAACGTGACAGGTTGCATTATTAAGTTTACATCGACTGAGACCTCAAAAGCCAGAGAAATGGATGACAACACAAGGGGCTGTGTTTCCTGCAGTCATCGCTGAATAAAAAAGGACATCTACAGAATGCACATTTAAGGGAGTTGATGGTACTGTTTCTATCAGTGCTTGCTGGCGCTGTGCTAAGTTGTGTGGATAGCTTAATTAACCATTAGGCAAAAATAATACCTGAAAACTCAGAGACTTTACGTATAGAACTGGCAGATTTTTAAAAAGGGTAAATATTTTTTTGTTGGAGAACAGCCATTAAAGCAATCCTGTGACCTGATGAGGATGAAAAGGGCACGGACCTGGCTAGCATGCTGGGAGGTGTTGTGCCACGAGTAGAAAACTCTGTCCGTCTCTGAAGTGTTGTAGAGGAAGACCATGTGGGTCTTCGTGGAGCAGACTGGGATGTCGCCAAAGGATATGCTCTCTTCTGACAGGAACACCAGCTGCAGAGGAAGGGCATGTGGAAGAGAGCAATACCAAGGGATTTCTTACTGTTCAAAAAGTGAACGTTTTGTAAGAAGCCATTTCTCCAGATCGAAAGAAAATTCAGAAGAACTGTACTGAAGAATGGTATTAAGAATGTTTTCTTAGGAAGTAGAAGCTTTCAAGAATACAGTCCTTCTACATTTTGGGACTGACACTTCATTTTTCAGGTTCAGTTTAATGAATCAGATTGTCTTAAACTTTGTGGAACGTTAAGTCTGCTGTGTACATGTACAGTATCAAGTGTGATTCTGAACCATGAAAAGCAAAGTACAAATAACAAATAATGGCAGTATATTATTTTCTTGAACGTCAGTAATTTTAAAGATCTAAATAAATGTAAAACATTATACATTAAATCCCTGGCATAGAAAATTGTTGTTAGTTTAAAATGCACAACAAAGGAATTGAACAGATGGTTAGCTCATTGTAATTTCTCCCTCTAAAGAGAGAATTACAAGTTAACATCTTGTAATGATGTTTATTGCCGAACAACATTTTTAATAGCAATGCTGAGTACAAATGTTAAGGAGATAAAGCCAAACAACTAAAAGACTTTAGAATTTCAGACAAACAAAATGAAAGTTATATAGAGCCAATTAACTTTAATTTGACTTGTAAATCAGCCCTGCCACATATGAAAGGTCTCACCTGTCCTGGTAAGGGTACTTTCTGCGTACTGGGCACAGAAAATGGGATGCAGTCAACTCTGAGAGGGGCTGCTTCTCCCAGAGCCCTCCCATCATACCCTGCTCCATTAAATGATACCAGAGCAGAGTCCCCCTCTAGAATGTGTATGGGAATATCCACCTGTGACCATAGGATACAGCATCAACAAACACACTCAATGAGGATGACATGGCACAGTTTTTGCTAGAGTGAATCAAAGACAGACATAATGTAATGTAAAGGAACAAGTCATAGGTTTATTCCATGCTGAAAACAAAAGAAAGAAAACACATTGTTTCAGCCGTGGAGCCTTCTTCAGGTGTGAGAGAGACAGAGCAGTAAGCAAAGGTAATGTAGCAGGAGAACAAGAGCTGGGAGAGAGGAGGAGCGAGAGGTGGGAGCAGGGGACAGGCAGAGTGGGCAATCAGGTGGTGTGGAGTCAGGATAGGTGAAGAGAGGTGTGAAATGAAACCTACAATGAATAGAGAGAATTTAGAAGAAAATAATGTACTGTCAGTGTCTGATGGTGTTCTAACTGGACCTGTACTTTTCAACAGCTGTGCTTTGAAGGAAGAGAAGGGGAAAAATATCAATACAGAATGCTTTCCTATATGTCTATTTCATAGTCAGGTTTAACTAATAAAACAATCCCATTTAGTACATGAGCAAATTAGGTTGTCAAAACCTAGTCCTAACATAATCTATGTTTCTGATTGGGTCATGATGTCAGTTCAGCTGTTCTCAAAACAGTATATATGGGTGGAAGAGGAAATAGTATTTCTTGTTAATGAGGTATAATTTACAGCACAGAAATTCAGTGGATGGCAAAAAGCTAGTAGATGATGATGTTCAGAACACTAAGAATGGAAAACCAAAATAAAAATGCAAGTTGAAAGACACAATTCAATTGAATAAGTGGAAAACATACACTTGGGTGAATAAAGATGACATTTCTGGGTTTGCCTCATGGGTTTTCAAGGCATTTAACGTTTACTAAGATACTAAGATCTGTGGCATCTCTGCTTCATACGTACATTTAAAACTTTTTATTAATGTACTATTATCATGGTTCAGCCATGATTTCATGTTACCAGTGGGCAGATTTTCTGAGATTTACTGAGGTGGAATTAAGAAAATGTTCTCTTTTCTTTCTGTAATCAGATCATATACGTCTTACTTAACATTAACCACCTGCATTTCAGATATTTACCAAGGAAGAAATTAACAATATGCTTCAGGCAGAGAAATATATAGAAGTTCAATATAAAATAGTAAATGTTTAGAGGCAGAACCTCTAAAGGTAGCAGCTCTTAAGAAGAACAATTCTCTAGGGCTTGATAGCATTCTACTAATTGTACTTAAAGAAGCAAGATATGTTATTCATAGGCAATTGGAACAGGGTAGCTGTCATTATGGGGTGGTTGGTTAAAAACTCTATTGTACTATATAATGGTTAAATGATTTTGTAATAAGGTTATTAGAAAGACTGTGACAAACGTATGCATGTTAAGGTTAAGCGCACATGCTGTATATGCACATGGGAGCAGCACAGCACCTTGCTGGAGCTGAGTCTCGTTATGCTGTCTCTAAATGGTTAAGACTAACATCGAGCTGAAGAGGAAAGATTGCACACAGAGAAAACACAAGTCTTGAGAGAGCCCGGTTACACACAGTCTCCTGGGTAGAAGGTTGAATCTCTGTTACAGACGGTTAGACGGATTAAGGTTTATATCCATGGTTATTTATTGTTAGTTTGGGAAGAATGTGAAGGAAAAAACAACAGTTAGTTTTTCCACTATATAGAATTCCTGGACTTAAAAGAACGTCCTATACTGACAGGATGAAGGAACTTGAGCAGAGAAGACTACAAGGGGACTTGATACAATTACTTAAAATTCTTAAGGGCATTTACAGTCTGAAATAAATGCAGTCGACATCTTAAGGACAGACTGTGAAAGACAAACTTTGGATACAGGTGGTAACTATGTGGAAGTGCAGTTAAAACTCTGAACAGGAGGCACGTCTTGACACAAAGGGAACAAGCTACCCAGCCATAGTGTTGAAGCCGAAACCCTGGGTTCCTACAAGAAACAGCTGATGAGATCCTTCGATCATTTAGCTGTGAACTACCAAACAGACTAGATGGACTGTAACTCATTTACATTGAGTCACTGTATAATTAAGTACTAGATCATGATTAACAAGGCAATGAAAATCTAACACCATTAATAATAACACTCATGCTTACAGTATAGGTTTTGGCTTCCAGGGGAGAGAAGATCCACTCCACAACAGCTGTTCTCCCAGGCTGCACCTCTCCTCTGGGATTGAGACATTGAAAAATGGGATGTCCAAAATTCTCCTCCTTTAAGTCATCCAGAGGCTCCAGGTCAATGTGGTAGCATAGAGGCACTGATCCTCCATTGTACAGCTCATAGACCTACCAAAAACACCAGTGTTCATTCAGTTCATATTCGGGAAGGGATCCAACACATACAGTAGGCCTGGCAAAGTCTGTGGTGTTTAGTGAACATTGTCTGTTAAGAAATAGGCTGCCCGTAACTTCATACCAGTTGGAGGAGTGTTAAATTAATGTTGTACTTTATTGTAATTGATTAAATTGATGTAATTGATGAAACCTGAATGACTTTAAACGAACAAGGTTAGGAATGAAACGTGCACTCTACTTGATATCTAAGGATAATTTGTTCTGTCAGATACCAAGCACCATTAGTTACTTCTTAATGTAAAAGGGGAAATATAAATACCTTGTCGGGAGGCTGTCATGTTTGTTTTACACAGTTAGCTAGCTACCTAGTTTTGTTTTACAGCAGCAGGTGTTTAGGGGCTGTATTTCCACTGTTCTGCTATACAGCACTGGGGTATCGGCAGTGAGTGCAACAAAGGAGTCATTATAGTGAAAAGAGTCATTCTTTTTCAGAACAGCTTTTGTTGAGAGACTGTGATAATCTAAATTTAAAAAAATCAACTGCCTTCACATGAATGTTCATATAGATAGATAGTTTATTGTCTGTTACCGTGGAAACTTGTCTTTGATTTCTCCCATAAAAGTACAAAACACACAAGCAAAACGTAAAGTCACATAAAATACATGAGATCACAACAGTATGTAACACATAAATAAAGGGATAAATAAATAGGTGGCAACAGGACTACATTTCCATACATTCATTGAGCAGTTTTATTGCAGAGGGGACAAAGGATTTCTTATAAATGTTTTTATTTGAATTTGGTACCCTATGCCATCATTATGATGGGAGCGTTATGGATTGAGAATGGAATGGGTGCATACTGTACATACTTACACACACATATACTAAATAGGTGAATATAATCTAATATCGAATCAAATCTAATATCTAATAATGATATAATCTATAATCTAATACTGGATTTTGAGATGCAATATTTCATGGTGGGTGTCCCGCTGCATCTCTTTTATCAGTGTCCTGCAGGTTTAGCTCCTGCATCTTCTACTTCGAGTTCTTCCAACTGACTGTGCATCTGGCCTGGTGTGTCAGTGGCGTAGGTACTCACTTGTCTGGGAGGACTGAAGCTACCAGTGGCCACGGGGGCAAAAGTGTGTTTGGTGGACATGAAGTGTATGTAGGGCCTGTCCTTCTTCACTGTGACTCCAATGAAGTTCAACTGGAAAGAGAGGGAAAAAAGACGTGTACAGTACAGGTACAGTTTATAGCGCTTCCTTTTTAAAGACACAAGAGGGAGCCCATTCGTGAGAATGGTTGATCAGCTGAGCCTTCTGCAAACTTGATAGAGACTATTATATAAATGCTGTTAATATTGTAACAGGATGGCTGACTAAGACAAGGTGGAAGCTCTTGCCCGAGCTACATACCCCAGAAAGGCGTGAGGAATGACCTGCTGCCCTCAGTTACCTGACCCATTGCCACTTGTGAGCTTTCATTAACAACTGGGTGACCAGTTGCATGAGCAACACACAAATTAAAGTTACACTATAATGTTGCTTCTGAGCATCTGCTATCTAGAAGCAAGCAATGTTAAAATACCATTATTCTATTACCACGTTATCTATTAATCCACTTTAGGAATGTAAAATGGAACTCAACCCAAATTTGAAAAAAAATAAAGGTATTAGTAACTTATTAAAAATGAATACAAAATGTGTGTGATTTTGTCACGTTACCAAAAATCACCGACTGACAGTCAACGAAAAAGACTAAATCAGATTCTCTACAGCAATACTTCTCCACTGTACGGGACTTTGAAAGCAAGGCCTGGGAAGTCAGGAATCACCCAGCTGTGCCCGACTTCTCCTCAGCTCTGTCTCACCAGGATCTCACGCCCATGAGACAGCTTCAGCAGGACGGGAAGGCGATCTGTGCCAGCAAAGTCATGCCTAGAAGGACACGTCACCATATCAACAACACAAGGAATTAAATGATCCGTTCCGCATCGTGGGTACTTTTTATTTTGAACTCTTTTGACCCAAGTGCACATTTTAGGATTAGAACTCAACAGGAAAGTGATTTGACCGACGGGCAGCAATTAAAATCCAGAGCAACCCTTGTCAAAACACAGACATTCAATGCCTTTCCTTTTTTAGAAAAATGGGATCGATCTTATTTTTGATCACATTTCCACTCTGAAAACATAGGGTGCCTTCCAGATTTATTCATGGATAAAACAGCAACAAAAACCACCAAATACCAGAGTGATTTATGTATTGAATAATATTTCTTGGTTCAATTCTGAAGATGTTTTGTTGTAATCTTATTTTCGCTGCACAGAGCAAAGTTATATTTTAAGGACACAAGAAAATGTACATATGAGAGGAGGCTGTTTAGCCCCTTCTGGTAGTAAGTGGCAAATCAAACCAAGGATCTCATCCAATTATTTATTGAACACTACCAAGTTATTGATCCATACTTCCATTGCCCTTTGGGTAATGAAGTTCCATCTAATCTCACTTTTAAATGCTAACGTCCGTGTGGTTTTTCACTTGTGTCCTCTGGTTCGTGTTTTACTGTTCAATTTGAAGAATTCCTCTGGGTTGATTTGGTCAATTCTTTTGAGAATTTTATTACTTGTATCAGGTCACCTTTTAGTCTTTTCTACAAAAAGCCCACCAGTTTGGATTTCTCGAAGTTTCAGACAGCTTTTGGTTGCTCCTCCCAGGACTGATATCTTTTTTTTTCTGTAACTTTTTAGCTACAGTTAAACTTTAGGCCACAGCATTCAAAATAAAGCCTAAATTAAGCACTACACAATTTTTAACATGACATTGCTTGATTTTAATTCTAAGCGTTTAATTAATTACATTATACATACATATATATAAACTATTTACCATTACTAAAGTTCAGAAAGCACAAAGGTCACATACAGTGTATTCACACCCCCGTGGTCAGAAATGTGTTAATCCTCCTCTGGCGGCGATTCCACTGACTAGACATTTCCTGCAGTGTGCTATGGGGTTCTAGAATATCTGAGAAGATACTACAAATTATGGGATTTTTAATTATTGTTCAGATTTGCTAATGGTTCTTCAAACCGTAATCTGCAAGATTAAGATGGCCAGTCCTGATAATTTATTTTGTATGCAGTTAAACACCTTGTGTTGTGTTGAAATGATTATCGTTCAGTTCGTTTTCAGTCAGGTTTGAGCTTCTTGGCAGAGAAAACCATTTCGGTGTGACCAACATGTTCTGGATTCTTGGACCTGTTGGTTTCTTCCTATTTCAACAAGGCTTCCAGGACCTTGAGATGTCAAACCACCTCAAAACATAACAGACACATACAATATTTCACAGTGGGTGGAAGTGGTTTCTCCCCGTGAGGCTTCACCTCTTTTATACAAAACAAAACACTTACAAAATAGCTCAAAACATTCAATTTTCACTTCATTTTCTTTGAAATGTAGTCTGTGGATTCGAATCGCCTCTTTTTGTGATACACCCTTGAAAAGGCTTTTTCCATTGCAACCCAACACGAATGCCACTTTCATGCAGGACATGTTGAATGGCAGCTTTTAGCACTGTATCCTGCAGATGCCAGTGATCGTTAGCTGTTGCTTATGGATTTACAGTTACCTCTCAAACCACTTCCCTCAACTGCTTCAACACTACAGTGGAAAGAAAGTGGTACTGTAGATTCAGCTTTTTGTGAATTCTTCTTTAGTCTTCCTCTCATTTCTGGGGTCGCCGATAGTCTTCAGAGAACTTCCTACGATGCTGCACGCAGTTTAAAAATATTTTTCCACACATTATCTCTTTCCAGACCTCGAAGAAGCAGGAATAGTTTGGAGGCCTCTACCTGTATATACCTCTGGAGGTTTCCACTGCACTTCCAAAGAACAGAATGTTGTAGTCGGTTTGTTTTTGCTGAATTTTATGGTCGTGTTTTCTGGAATTTGATTATGACAAATATGGCTTTGCTCTGCATATTGCTTTAGCAGTAACAGGGTATCATTTTTAGATTCATTAACAGCATATACATTATCCAATCCATATCTCATTCTGCTATCCAGTGTTTTCTGTTCCTGTTTCATCAATGAATGATTCTTGTAACACATGAGACTGGAGGGCACTGAGGAACCATATTTTCTGAGATAAAGTATAAATGAACAAGTAAAGGTTTATTCCATGCTGAAAAGAGAAGAAACTTTCTCGGCTGTGGAGTGACACACCCGAAGCTCCACAGCTGAAACGTTGTGCCTCTTTTCTCCTCTTTTCAGATGAAATAAACCTTTACATGTTCCTTTGCAGCCTATGCATGCTGACGCAGCTCCCTACTTAATGTATAAATGAGACATGATTACCCAGTATATATTTGTTTTTTCCAAATCTTAAAGATCCTAAACACTGAGATTAGTTTACCCTTAACACAAGCTTAATTGGTGCTGAACAAACATATATTTTCAGGACAGCTCTTGTTAAATTGGGAAAGTAATATATTGTGCATCTCAAAGGTAAACTAAGCGAACACAAGAAAGAAAGTGGAGTTAGAGTGTGACTCATAATAGGCAATTTATTCCCCTTGTCAATACTGTGACACAAAATGTCAAAATTACAATTGCAAACGTTAAAACACAATTAAGGGCTCAAACAAGCTATGATGGTGAAAAATAGGTACTGTAATGTATTTGGGTAACCAGAGGCTGCATTACCTGTAAGAGAGCTGTATTGCTCTCTGTTGCCCAGGAAGGAGCTTGCCAGATCGGGGGGAAACACTGAAGAGCTTGTTGTCCTGAACCCTCATCTCGTGTAACTCTGTGGGGTCAAACTCCCCACTCTCAGCCCAGTACTCCAGTTCAATCTGCTGGTCAGCTGGAAACAGGAAGGACCTGAACAACAGATCATAAATGCTGCCATTTCCGCTGGGTTCATTATAAGCTTAAATAGAGGCAACTAAACACTGTACTTTGGGTAGCCATGAATAAACTGGGTAATGTTTTTCTTTGACTTTTTACAGAACCCCACTCCAGAAAGTCCTTTTTCTTGTACATTTCTGTTCCCGCCAGCAGAATAATAAAAAAACACAATGGTGTCAATTCTAAATAAAGCACGGTTGACCATGATAATAAGTAATTCTGGAGCAATTGGTGATGGAATTCTAGTAAACGGCTGTTTAAACTACCCATTCTGGGAGCATTCACATTTTCTCCCTAGTTTGAGTGATCATGCGCTGATGTACTCAAATGTAAGGTAAAGGACTGTGGCCTTTGAATTTTAAATACAAGTAACTGTTTTGTCGACCCACCAGTCCACAGGAATGGGCCCCTTGTTCTCGAGCATCATCAGAACAGTGGAGGGTTCTGAGCCAAGCGGGGCAGCGCTGAAGTTGAAGTCCAGGAAAACGGGGGTGAAAACTGAGGGGCACCGGCGCACGCTGCAGGTAAAACAGAGATCAGCACTTCACGGGACTCCGAGCAAACATTCGCACTGTGTGCAGACGACGCTAAACTCCTATTTAATTCCAGCGTGAGAGACGTCTGAATTCAAATCAGTCTTAAATGCTGAGAGAAGACCACACTTTTCTTCTAGAAACAAGACTCACAGAAAGAACATTGGTTTCACAGAGCTAGATTTCCCCCACCAAGAATGAAATCGTCCACCACCTTCTCAAAGACTCATGAGGTGTAAATGAGCACCTCATGAGTCTTTGTCTCAAATAAGCTGCGGACCTGGAAGATTTCTACATGAAGACATTCTGCAGGGCAGACGTATTCTACATGGAGAATCAGAGCCAGAGTTAGAATAACACCAGTCTCTGCAAAATTTCAAAATTCTCGCGTTCAAAGTACTGTATCTCACAAAAGATGAGTCTCCCAAAAAGGTGGATTTGACTGCGTCAGAAGGTGTTTTGGCAGAGGTGCAATTGGCAAGAATCACTCGGATGAAAGCAAACACAAGCTGGTGTTACACAAAAGCAGGAAATCCTCAACATCCGCAATATTCTATATTTGTGATTTGGCCTATTCGCGCAAAATGTTTAGAAACCCCTTTTTTTCCCACATTCATGGGTCAAATTTGCCTATATATGGACTGCCCAGTCATAGAGTCATAAATGCAAGCACTGACTTACGCAGCATTTTCATCTCACAGATTTACTTGACCTGACACTAGTCAAGGCATACCTTGGTTAACAAAGACTTAACATGTTCATGAAGAAGTGCATCATGGGTTATGCCCATTAATCAGTTTCATTAAAATTCTCATCAATAAATACCAATAGTATCTGTCGTATAGCTGACAGCTGTAACAAAATATTACTACAGATGTGCTTGTGTGACAAGTGGCAGAACTTCACCCTATTTCCCCCATAAGGTCTTAAGTCTTGCCAATTCCCCATTCATGGAAATGTCAAGGTACCTAACCCTCACAAATACCAAGGATTTACTGTACAACACATACAGGCCTGAGCCTATTTAAAAAGGGGTTGGCAAATGCATCTGAACCTGTCTCCTGCAGACAGTGAGATTACATTGGGGCAGGTCAGCTGTAATGTGGTAGACAGATCTTGCGGAGTTCGCAGAATAAGCACGCTCATTGCAGCACCTGTGTCGAGTGGGCACTCTGTAGATGAGTTCTGAGGGTGTCGGGTCCCGCTGCAGGTAGGAGTTCAGGGTGTCCAGGGAAAAGAGGTTCCAGAGCTGCAGCTTGCTGATGCCCTCCATGCTACCTGTGCTGCGGGCATCACACACAGAGAGCGTGGGGTACACCCCTTCTGCACACACCTGGCACAGGGTCTGGGCTTCCCCCATCACCTGTCCTGGACCAGAAAACACAGCACCATGGTCAGATCATGCCACCCACTTAATTTAAATACAACAATATAATACTACACCCTTCCAGCAGCCATATCACCCTGAAACTCACAACTGGCAGCCCGCTGAAGCTCACTAAGGTTGCTTCTGGAAGAGGTGTTAGTGGGGCCAGCAGGGGGCGCTCACCCTGCAGTTTGTGTGGGTCCTAATGCCCCAGAATAGTGATGGGGACACTATACTGTAAAATAGTAAAACCTTGGTCCTGACTCTCTGTGGTCATTAAAAATCCCAGGACGTTTCTCAAAAAGAGTAGGGGTGTAACCCTGGCATCCTAGCCAAATTTTCCCCTGGCCTTTACCAATCTTGGCCTCCTAATAATCCCCATCTATGAACAGGCTTCATTACTCTGTTCTCCTCCCTACTGATAGCTGGTGTGTGGTGAGTGTACTGGTGCACTATGACGGCCACTACATCATCCAGGTGGATGCTGCACACTGGTGGTGGTGGAGGGGAGTCCCCATTACCTGTAAAGCACTTTGAGTGGAGTGTCCAGAAAAGCGCTATATAAGTGTAGCAATTATTATCCATTTTATTATCCATATTAATTATCCATTTTCTAACCCTGTCGTGGGGGAGCTGCAAGCAAGCGGCGCAAGGCAGGTTATGCACTGGACAGGAGGTCAGGCCATAACAGGGCACACACAGACACGCACGCAATCACACCAGGGCCAGTTTTACAGAAGTCAATTAACCTACTAGTATGTTTGTGGACTTTGGGGAGGAAAGTGGAGCACCCCTGGGGATACCTATGCAAGAACGGGACAGAACATGCAAACTCCACGCAGAAGGCACCCCAGGAACTGACCTCAGGGCCTCAGTACTGCAAGGCACCATTGCCGACCACTGTGCCTCCATGCCCCCTGGGATACTAGTTGCAGTGGGAAGACCAAGAACACTGTACGACCAGAGCCAAAAAGCAGCCGTAAAAACAGCAACTGAAGAATTTTCTCTTGCGTAAGGCATTCCATAATCCAACCTTAACGTATAAATTGTAACCTTCCGTTCAAAAGCTGCCTTGACCTACCTGGTGAAGAACAGGGCTTGAAAACAAACAATATTTGTGGAAGTTTACCACTACTGTTTACAGTTATGAGATAATGCGTAACATAGACTTTAAATCTCACTGGCAGCCTTCCAGCTTAATACAATCTAACTTGAATGACAAAACCGAAAAGACTGAAAGATTCAGGGAGCTTTCATACATAGTCTAGTTGAAAATCTCTTACAGTAAATAATAGTAATTCAAGTCAGAGATCAGGTTAATTTTGGCAGGTGTGATGTTAGTGAGTAAGCAGATAAGCAAAATAAGGCTCACTTGAAAAGTGATCTTACAGTCTACAGTATGGTTCTCAGTTAAAGTCGAGCATTGCGAATGCAACTGGACAAGAGCTCACAAGCAGAAGAAACTGAACTACCTGGCTCATGTTGAAACCTGCCTAATTTTTATTCCTGTATATTTTCTTTTCCGCAGAAAGTAGTATATATTTACAAAGGTACACAAACACTTGTGTCCAATTCATAATATATTTCACTTAATTATGGTGTGGACATAGGATATTATTGGTGAAAGGGAGTGGTAGAGAATATATTAATTCTATTAATTGGTAAAATGACCATGACAAAGTACAGGAAAGACTTTGAGTCACCCCAAAATCTAAAACTGGCACACAAATTCACATTTTAGCAGAACAATAACTGAAGGTACAAAAACAATGGCACACACAAGTCAAGTCACAAGTCTGGCGAGATGAGTGTGCATATCCCTGAGTGGCCTAGTTAAAGTCAACACTTGAATCCAGTGAAACCTGTTGAGCGAGCCTTGATGATCAGCATCCATCAACTATTGTCAATGAACTTGAAGACTGTACATGGGCAGAAATTATACTTAAAATACTGACAGCAATAATTACTGGAAAAGGAGATTCTATCAAATACTAATTTAGGGGGCTGAATATTTATGTAAGTAAACATCACTACATCATCTTTGCAGGTTTTGCTCCCAGTCAGCGTCTTTATATACATGTATATAGTAACACTGTTCAGTTTGATCATTAAATATAAGAATTTTAAAAAATATATCTAAAAAATGTGACATTGGTAGAGGATAAATATTTTTGCAAAGCACTAAACATTCACATTTTCTGCTTTGTGCTTCGTTTTGCTGCGTGTTTTCAATACTGGATTCATAATCATATAAAGTTTCCCTTCTGTCTTAAGTGCATATACTGAACATGCCGTAAAATGTAAGCCCCACAAGACCTAAAATCTTGTCCTGATCTTGAAAGAACACAAAAGAAAAGAGCACAAACCAATGATGAGCATAGCTTCCATCACATGTTTAGATCTTGTTTTAAAAAGCAGAATTGGCTGGATGCACCATCCGTACTCCGAGATACATTTTATTAAACTGCTGGTAATGTTTCAGGACTAAAGCTTTCATAAGGACAAACTCTGTGATCAGATAAATCAGATCATCTTAAACAAACTAAGTACATAAGTCACCTTAATTTGGCATTTAAGGGTCTGGCTCTAAATATTTTTTAGTGAAAAACAGTGCATTTTGTACTACAATATTACAGTCATATAAAGCATTTGTAAGAAAGATAACTGATTCACTGAAACACACAGCAGACCTTTCTTTAGGTTTGTAAGAAGCAGCTCCCCTCCATACCTCTTGAGGTGAGAATCTGATAGGTGATGGACCAGCGATAGTGAACTCTCCTGGCGGGTTTGATTGTTGCCTTGACAACTACCTTTGATCTTGCAGGGATTGTTCCACTGTAGTACTCCAACTCGAGGGCTAAAATCCACAGAGAAACAGAAGAAAAGGCAGTTTTATTGTGGTGTGTTTCATGGTTGTAATGATCTAACAAAAAGATGCTGTGGCCATTTTTCCAATGCAGGACAAAAAATGAATTCAAAGGAAACGTTAAAAGCTTGTTACATTCGAGGCCAATGGCATACAGAAGGCCTATAAAACTTATTTTTTAGAAACCCAAAGAAAGGTAAAAAGTTGTTTGAGTTAGAAAGCTCTGAGAAAGCTCTACCGGTGGGGTCATTCTGCGTTTCTTCAGGGCTGCAGTGCCCAGAGATGTCTTGACCTACAGTCAGGGAGAAGCTGAGGGTGCAGGACCCATTGTTTAGCAGCACCAGGTCACATGTCTGACAGCTGCCAACCAGCACTGTCCCCTGGTCCAGGACAGCATGCTCTGCCTGCAAGACCAAGACAATCACAGTCTACATACGGTATCACTTCACACGCAGACATTAAACGGACATTTGAAGACACTGAATGAAGATTCAAGAGAGCACAATACCAAATCATGATTACAGGCTAATCATCGCGGTACAGATCATACAATAATGCAACATTTATTCTAAACCAATTCTTCTCAAAACTGTTCTCCCTGTGTTTCTGTGGGTTTTTTTGCTGGAGATGTTGGCTTCCTGTTACATGTCAAAGACATGCAGGTTAGAGTTCGCTGGTTAAACTAAATTCTCCCTTTCCCATGTGACATTTTCAATAGGATTCCTATTTGGGATAAGGTTGTATCTAGTACAACTAGAGATGAAAAGAACTTCATTACATCGCTGAACTGAATGGCCTCCTCTTATCAGTGACCTTTCCAAATCACGCTAACTAAAATTATTTTTGTACTTTCTATTTCTGTTGTTCTCATGTGTCTTCAAGTAGGTATGTACCGTTAAACACCTTCAAGGACTTCAAGAGGAGGGGGGATACATCTTTTGTCTAGCATATTTGGTTAATTCTTACATAATTCCAAATGTTTGTTCTAGTTTTAAACTTTCGTCTCTGTCTAACTCTCTCATCAGTAAAGCATTTGATAAAGTAAAAAAAAATCAAAAAAGGATGCAGGGCAGTATTTGTGACAGAACTAATAATTTATATAGTGAAGGAGTATATTCTTATTTTAAAGGTTTTCACACACATAATAAACTAAAGCATATTACGAGAGTATGGTGCAAATCTCATTGACAGCAAATATCAAACATAAGGTTGACAGACTCAATGATTTTAACAGCCAGTAAAAAAAGAGAAAATAATTCTAATTATATTAATATAGCACTGACCATTATGTTATTATGCTTTGCTTCTTCACTTTAAAGAAGGAAATACATTTTTAGTATATATAGTGTATAGTATATAGTATACTGTATATAGAATATCTACACACCCTTTCCAGCTAACACATTTTGTGACTTAATGTAACTGCCTGAAATCAAGACACATTAAATCAGAGTTTATTTTACCTTTATCTACACCTTGTAACACACAACCTCCAAGTGAAAAACATATGTTCCAACATTCCAAAACGTAATTGCAACACATGAAAACCTAGAAAATTGGGTTGGATAAGTGTGCATGTCACTTGGTAGTAACAACTGTAAATTAGCTCTGATGTACCCAATTGCCTTCCAAATCACACAACAAGCTAGTTATCCTCTGTTACTAACCTAAACAACTATTCGCAAACAGCTTGCAATAAAAATGATAAATGTTGTATAAAAAACAATGATCTATTGTTGATCTGCTTTCCCAAAATTGGGACGTAAATGAGTATTCACCTCAATGGATCCTTGTGAGGCCACTCCTATGACTCTCAAGGAAAGACGTGTCTTTTTGATGGAGAAAGCACTGTTCTGTTCCTGAAGAGGCCAAAATGTCAGGCTGGGCTTCATAGTGTACTGTGTCTCCTCCAGTGGTGAAAAAGACCAGGTCTGTGCCTAGTGGTTACAGTACAATACATATGGAGAACAATAAACAATAAGTGTATGCAGAAGTTCCCTAACGGTTTATATTATGAAAGGGCTGTGACTCCAGACAAGATGGAGATTCATATTTGGACTATATTCCCTAGAAATCTGTGGTCATGCTCTATAACTACTCATGTGGGAATCGCACATGGCACAAGTTTTTTTTATATATATATACAGTACATAAAAAACAAAACTGGCAAATTTCTGAATGAAGTGCTCTGTGCTTCATTGTCACCAATTCCAGAAAAATGACTAAGCACTAAGAGGCAAACTCAGATTAAACACTGAAAATAGTTTTGTTTATGATAGTAATAATATTGGGCCAGTGATGGGTGTGAAGAATGTGATGGTTTTTATAATTGTGATAAATGCAAAAGGTTCAGCAAGACTGTATTAATTTGAACTTGTTATTATAGCAACTGTAGATTCAATAGTTTTCAATAAAATGGAATACAATTAAGCATCCAAGTGTAAAAGTAAAAATGTAGCAAAATATAACTCAGTTTTGAAAATCATACTAGAAAGCACAAAATTATAAAAGGACAACTGGTTAAAGTATTTAACTATCAGCTAAACTTCAGCCCTTAGTTTTTTTCAATGACAATCCAAATCCAAATCAGTTTATTATCTAATTCCAAAGCAGCAGGTCTTCAATCCATAAAACTACACATTTTAATTTGGTATCGGACCCAGGCTTAACTATAAGAGCTGATGTTTTATATATTGTCTGAAAAATGAAACTGTGCTCTGAAAAATTAATATTTCTTAGTACCGAATATATGACATCATGGATGTTTCCTTAAACTTTGTATTTCTCTAAATTCATTACATCATCTTGCACATTAGGTTGTAAAGGACTAAGCTCAGGAGCCCAACGGAGTAGGATTCCTCTGCTGGCTGCGGGATTTGAACCCCAGCAACCTTCTAGCCACAGGAGCATATCCTCAGCCACAGTGCCACCGCTCCAGCAAATATTATACACCTAATGTGTTAGCAGTTATATTATTTATTGGTGCACACTTTTAAAATGGCATGATTTTTCATACTACAGATGTTGTGGTTTGATCATTTGTGAAGCTAAATGAAGCTGTGTGGAGGAAATCTGGATTCAAGCCACGTACCAAGGATTCATTGGGCTGAATAATGCCCTCCTGTGGTGAAACTGACAGCACACAGCAGTCTGGGCTCCAGGTCTTCCATCTGAAACACAAAGGCACTCGGCTTACGTTCTTAATGATGTAAGAGCGCTCGGAGGAGAAGCCCACTGCTGTGGGCTTAAAGAAGAGAGTCCCATCTCCCTCCAGGGACATCTTCGGTTTCTCGGCCACACTCAGTATAGTGATCTCCTGCAAACAAACAAACAAAAAAAACATATCAGAAACTGAAATTCACAGCTCTCTCAAAAACACCGTAGAGAGGGATGGATTCATCCAAAACCAACCAGGCTATATGTAGTAAGCCAAGGGTTACGAGAGGCTTTTATGCCCACAGGACTGAAAACCTGAAATGTTGTACCATTTACAGACAATACACTGCAAAAACATTTGTTCAGAATACTATTCACCTTTCAAAATTGACATTACTGATCTGGAATCAGCCCAAAGATGGTTTAAAGGACTATTTAGTCCTGAACATCTTGTCTTGATTCATCGTCCCATCTTGATTCAATCATTCACAATCCTCAAAAGGTGCAGACAAAATCAACACAACCCACTCAAGATCAACAGTAAAAATCAACTGGAAACAATGTGTACAGTATGTGCAACTAAGACTTCTTTAAAGGGTTGTGGGAATCTGGAGCACAGCTATCCAAAAATGTTGTTGCTGAAGCTAGATAATAAGATCCTCAATTATTCACCTCAATGTGCTCCTGAGAGGCATTCAGCTGTAGAGACAGGTGCAATTTCTGATCATTATCTATGGTTGGAGTTGTTCTCAGAGTAAAGATCTGGTGAGCCCCTGGGTGGACCAGACCACTGGTGGGCTTCACTGTAACCACAGGACAGTCCTTTGTCTCCAGATTGAAAATGATGGGCAGCTCCCCAGTATTCTGGAACAGAATGGATCTGTAGGACTCTTGGTTCAGGGCTGGGAACACCTGAAAGTGGGAAAAACTTGTTGTTACTAACATTTCAAGATGGAGCTTTTTTTACTACTGTCTTTTATTACATCCACATGGAATCAATAACCTCAGAAATTTCAAAGCCAGAGTCAAAGCTTTGAAACCACCCCACAGGCATTTGTATTTGATGTATATTTAAGTCACGAGAATGTTGTTTTTACTTATGATCTCTGCTCCACAATAGTTGATTGGTTTTGAATGCAGTGCCAGTGTCCACGTCACTCATCTTTTAGGGTAATTTACGTTATTAAAGATGTACTAAAAAGTAGAAATATATTTTAAGCAGCAGACAAGGATTTTACTTTTAAATATTCAGTTCATAACTGTTGGCATGGCAGGACCATGACATGACTGGAACAGGGACAAGGACAGTTCAGAAATGGTCACATTTACGTATAAGGGTATTTTTCACTCTTCAATGTCCTTATCAAATAAAATAATTAATAGGCCATATTAAATTGGCCCTGGTGCGAGGTGAGAGTGAGTCTTCCTGTGTCTGTGTTTGTGTCCGTGTGTGCCCTGAGATGGACTGTTCAATTATTTTGTTCCATTTCTACCCCACTTACTGCAGGGAGAGCGCATTTCACTTGTTAACAGTTTCGCTATGAAAGGGAATGCTGGGTACAAAAGGGGTGAAAATGCTTGTTTTACTGAACATTTGACACTATTCTAAGGTCTTCTTGCAAACGTTTAAGGGTTCCCAAATGTAAGTCAAACATATGCAAACATTCCTTTGTTCCACTATCCATTAAAGCTGTCAACGCAAATGTCAAGGATAAACACAATTTTGACTCTTACAACCCACTTGAGTGCAATATGTTTTTGTGAGGTGTTATAAATGTTACATGTTGTTATGTGTTATACTGTACACGTACAATAGAGTGATGTGCAATGTTTTTCTTATTTTTTTTAATAGAATAATGTTTTCCTTTTCTTCTTTTTTAAAATTTTGTTTGCATTCTATTTAAAATGTATAGGAGTGTTGTGTGTCCATAAAAAATTTCCCTCAGGGGACAACAATAAAATCTTATCTTATCTTATTAGATAGACATCAGAGGCCACAATTATCCTTAAATCAAGATCCAACCTCCCACCAGCTCTCAATGAAAGACGAATCTTATTTTAAATCTCTCTGCCACAGCCAAAACACTTTGTTTTTTGTTTCATTTTGCTTTTCAAAACGAAATTGGCTCAACTAATAGCTCACATACTGACACAGCTCCCCACTCAAACCAACCTCTCCAGACCAAAACAATTCTGTAGATTTCAGAAAAAAAAAACATACATCTTGTGATTGAAGAATTTGTATCCAGTCAGTAAACAAAAGCAGTTTTTGTTTTTCATTAAAACAGAGGTTTTGATGTTTGTGACCTGATGTGGTCACACAAAAACGCGACCTATGAAAAAAAAGTGAGGTATCGAAAAATATTTTGATATAGGTCGTCTCAGAATCTCTGTGACATCTTGCCTGGGAGCGACTCACCACTTGTGGGCGATGGAGCACATAGCGGGGAATGAAGTGTTGATGGCCAGGCAGAAAGGAGTGACCACTGACTCTCAGTGTCAGACACCAGGGGGGGCACAGGGTGCTATCCTCCACATAACAGCTGTCCTTCATGGCCTGGAAAGCACAGGAAACATTTACTTATAACTGTGAAGTTCTCTGGCTGCTTCTTTTAACCAGTGCAAAGTCAATTTGAATTGGTACAACTGAGCATTTTATCGAAGCAATCTGAGTGAACAAGTCTCTTGTTCAAGGGAATGATAGAACTGTCCCATGCAGGATTCGAATAGACAAGTTACAAATCTTGAGCCCTCAGCCCTACTCGGCTCTGCTTCCACATAAAACTGCTTCTTTTGGTCCTTTTCGTCTACCTTTAAAGGTATAATGAGCATCCAATGGGAACTTGGGGGACTATCGTATATGGACAGGGTGAGGGAGATAAATATCTTCAAGCTGACAGAGGGGATTCAGAGAAATTTGATCCAAGTATACAAAATCTTCTAGTGTATAGATGGGTTCAACCAAGGTGACTGCTTCACACTCACTAGTGAAAAAAGAACACAGGGTCATAGTTGTAAACCTAAGGGAAATTAATTCAGGCCTGAGAATAGGAAACTCTTCTTTACTCAAAGAGTTGTGGCCATCTGGAACAGGCTTACTAGCCAGATGGTTGAGGCTCAAACTCTGGGAACCTTTAAGAAATGGATGAAGAAAATTTTACATTCACTTAGTTTCTAAACGTTATTTGCTACTGCACCAAATTCAGAAAGTTGCTAACAGAAGCAGAGCATGATTTTATATTCACAATGGGAAGGTTGTTATCACTACAATATGGTCATAACATGAAGGCATTCTGTCTAAAGTGGCTTCTCTCATCAAACCACTTTAGCTATCACGGTCCTACTGTACCTTATAGAAAGCAAAACACTCCAGGTCAGCCCCGTTGATGGTGTTTTCATGGCTAGGAGTGTAGGTGACCCTGAACGCGTTGGTTTTGAGGGGATGGAGGTCGCAGGTCACGGGGGTAACGCTGAATGGACTCCCCCCGGGACTGGTCCAAACGACGGTCAGCCTTCCCTTGGTGTGGTTTGTCAAGGAGACCGAACGGGAAGGGGAGCCACTGTGGAAGAGGAGCTCTGGTGGGTCAATGGTGACGTGAGGGCGGCTGGTCGCACCCGAGTCCCCCTCGAAGTATTCCGCCATCGAGCTCGACACGGGGGGACTGGGGGTGGCAGGTGGGTCCTCTTCAGATTCCTGGAACACAGACACTTGAAATGACTGAAGGAGCCAGTGGGGTGGTGGTGTCTTCTCTGCAAAGTGCAGTGCAGACTGACTACTAAGCTTGTGACCCTCCAGCCTGTGCTAAAGCAGTAGTTCCTTTAACAATATACCCCAGGACCTGCTACAACCAGAGATGCTCTGTATTCGATCACTTTTGGCTTTATATCGATCTTGAGGTCTTCATTTACAATTTGAACAGTTTACACCATGTTGAATTTCACCGACAGAGCGTTGGTTGTTCTCAGTGGCTCCGTTGTGCATGATAAGAGACTTTGAGTTGGAAGAAAAAAATTGAATTTAAGAAAAAAGCAACTCAAGAATATGTAAACTTTTATAAGTAGCTTAAGATTGTTTGTTAAGGTTTGTTTGTTTGTTCCAACCGTTTGCCGTTATGTGGCAAGATGGTGCAAAGAGATCTGGTATGAAGGGTTAAGGTCTGATACAAGGTTCTCTCCGTACCTGGTTTGGAAGCAGGAGGGCTCCGTCCTGGTCCAGCTGTAGCCGGTTCTCTGCCAACATGGCACTTAACATGTCAGGTGGGTAACAGGTCAGCCCCCTCTCTAGTTTCTTGTGGTACAGGTGTAGGTGTTTGGCATTAAGTATCGCTGGCTTCCATTGCTCAGAGTGACACGTGCCTATGAGGTCCAGGAAAATGGGATTCTACAAGAAACATATATTATAACAATCAATCCTTTACATTCCTTTTAGATCCTGTATTCCATCAGACGTTATTACACCATCATGAAGAACATCTTGTTTTTAACGATAAAAGTATTTATGCATTCATTGGTGGGGTGGACTGTCTGCCCACGTGTTTGTCAAAACTACTGTACAGTAGCACCAGGCCACAGAACTAAACCTAGAATCACAGAGCTAAGGCCTATAAAAGAAATACTAGATGTATATCCACCAATGGTACTTATCTTGAGTGCGAGTCTTAATCAAAGAAAAACAGGATTTCAGCTCTTTCTGTACTACAGTGGTTATTGTTTACCCATTTCCTAATTAAAACAGCTAGGCCTGCGTTAGTTGCCTGTTAGTTTAGAGTATGGTCCTAATCACATGTAGTGTGGGGTGTTATTTGCATTAGTTTTGATGGCAATGAGTTTACTTCCAATTCCATTCACTTATATAATGTCTATAACCACAACATATTTTGCACAGTGGCCTTACTGCAAAGGACTTCAGAGAGATGTCCGGATAATTTGACCAAACTTCTATGGATTGGTGAGAGTCAACATATATGTTTTTGTTTTTTCTTTTGCAGTTTTTGGTAACATTTACCTTCTTTTACCCATATGGCTTTCAATTTTTTTTTACAATAAATACATAACAATAATTATACAAACAATACCAAACACTACAAATGAAAATAACACAATGTAGAAGACAAAAAGAGAAGAAAAACCCTTAAGAATAAACACAACAACAAAACAAACACAAAACAATATAACCCTTTTTTCCCCTACCACAGACTGCTGTAGCTTATAATATAGTAGGAAGCTCCAGTTCCAAGTAGAATATACACAAAATTAACATGAAATAATTACTATATAATCCCCACCATAACATTACTCAAAATAATGAAATATTTTATGAGAATGTAAAATAAAGTTTCCAAATCTTGCAAAATTCATATTTTTCCCTCCATCATTCCTGCACACATTCGTTCAAATAGCAAAACTGTTAATATCTCAACATACCACTACTAATGGTTGGAGTAGAATCCTAAATTTAGTCCTTTTGTAGACTGCAAATACAATTTTTTAACCAATATAAGCTGGTTAGTAGTCAACTGTATCTGGAGGATATTATCAGTAATACCAATCTATCAATCATACAAAACCAAGGATTGAACTTCACTTGAGATTTCAAAATCTTTTCTAGTTTAATTCCAATCTCATTGCAAAACAATATTTCTCCAGCCTCAGATAGGGCCCTTTCCCAAGTTTCCATCCAGAAAGTGTCTCCCCACTCTATTTTTCTCAAGCCCTTACAACATTTTTCACGTTTCCTTTCAAGTTAATATTAAAGGTTGAACCAACAACAGATAAAAAGTGCTGAGGTTGTTTTCTTTGTAATGAAAGTGAATCAACAGAAGTACAAACAGACCCTTCCACAGGAAAATGCATGTTTGTAACAATAAAATCTCTCAATTGCAGAAACTCCCAAAAAATGAGAATATGTTATATTTCTTGTTGAATTTCCAGAAAAGATTTTTAAACATTATCCACATATAAATCAGAAATATATCTTTACCCTTTTCTTAAAGAAATCTGAAAACTACAGTATGCAAGGCTAAATCTGGAGAAAAGGCCTGGTTATTGTTAATGAGAGTTAAAGATGAGGGATAGCCTTTTCTCCATATCGTTCATAGCAATTCTGCATATCGTTCCCAATTTTAAGAGTGCTAGGAAGAAAGGGATAGTATTTCATCAAACTGGTCATATTCTTTGCATTCCTGGTCATAACAGTCATGTGTGAGCAGGGCACAGTGAACCAAGCATTATTACCTACCCAATCTGAATGTGTATTGGCTCAAACCCACTCCCAACTTAAACGACACTCACAAGCCCAGTTGTAAAATTTAAGATTAGGTAGAGACAAGCCACCATTAGAATAAGCCAACTGTAACCTAGACAATTTAACCCTTGGCCACTGTTTTGCAAATTAAACTTGATCTATTATTGTCAAAATCTTTGATCATTTGATAAATAAAGAGGGATCATTTGCAATATATACAAAAGCATAGGAAGTATATTCATTTGAATAAGATTTATCTGCCCCTGTCAAAAAAAGGCAAATAACAGCCATTTTCCATGTCTCACTGAACCTCTCTAAATACTGGGATCAAATTCAAGCTAAATAAATCATGTAACCTAGAATAAACATCGATATATATCCCTAGATAAGATTACTCTTAATGGAGAATCATCAATATTTCCACACTTACCCAGAAGCACTGCTTCTGATTTACTGTAGTTAATTTTACAACCTGAGAAAGTGCCACATTTATTTATCAAACCTATAACAGGAATTCAACTTTCTGGGTTAGAGACAAAAACCAGAATGTCATCTGCATAAAGGGAAATAAAATGATCCACGTTACCAATTCTGTTTTCAGGTTTTGACTTTAGAAATATGCATCACATGTACGATTGACATTTGTTTCATTTTTTGAAACTTGTTTGTGCTATAACCGGTGCACAAATAATAATAATAATAATAATATAATAAACTTTATTTTATATAGCGCCTTTAAAGGTGGCTTCTCAAAGCGCTTTACAGGATGACAATAACAATAAATAAGAAGACTACAACAATAAATAAGAAAATTTCACAAGACAGGACACAATTATAGTTACAACAATACAACAATAACAATAGAGGAGACTGTGGAAGATGGTATTAAGAAGAGCAGAGGGGTGAAGAATGGAACCAGTTAAGTAAAGGCTTTTCTGAAAAGGAGGGTTTTGAGTCTGGATTTGAAGGAGTTTAGAGAAGGTGACTCTCTAATATCCTTGGGCAAGGAGTTCCAGAGCTTGGGGGCATAGCAGGAGAAGGCCCTGTCGCCCATACAATGTAGACGGGCTTGGGGGACAGTAAGGAGGGCAGAATTTGAAGAGCGGAGGTTGCGAGGTGGGGAGTAGGGCGATAAAAGTTCAGACAGGTATTGAGGTGCCAAGCCATGTAAAGCCTTGTAGGTGAGCATGAGGATTTTAAAGTCTACGCGGAATTTGACCGGAAGCCAGTGCAAGGACTCCAGGATAGGAGTAATGTGAACACTTGCACTAGATCTGGTCAGGATTCTGGCTGCTGAATTTTGGACATACTGCAGCTTGTTCAGAGTAGATTTAGATACCCCAGGGAGCAGAGCATTGCAGTAGTCAATTCGAGAGAATACAAATATGTTGATCAGCTTTTCAGCCACAGTTAATGATAGCATAGGGCGTAGTCTTGCGATATTTCTAAGGTGAAAAAAAGATGTTTTGACAGTATGCTGTACATGTGTGGGTCGAATGTTAAGCCAGAATCTACAGTATTTGTGCCAAACAGTGGATGTACACATCTGCCAGGCTGGGTCATGAAGGTACCTGACACTAGGATCCTGATCAAGCCTCTTAGATCTCTATACTTGTATACAGGCACACTACAGATCAATTAGGTAGGAATTGCACATTCTCACATGTGAGTAGAACACTTGTGTGAGAAGACCTTGCTTCAGTAAAGACTCCTTTACTGTACGTCTTAAGATCATTGTGAATTTTTAATATGTCTAGGCTTGTTAAACTGCCTTAATTAGGTTGGGGTCTGTCACAACACAAGACTGTAATCCCTAATGATTTACTGCCACATTATAGCTCTGCAATTTTCAAGGGGAAAATCATATCTATGCAATCCATCTTTTAACAATGTTAAGTGTGTCTGATGTGCTGTAAAAGCTGTCAAAATGTCTGTCAACACTGCGGAATTATACCGACACCTTTAACAGCAGTTGTGCTACCCAGTTTTGGGGAATACCATAAAAAAGCTCATCAACCAGACTCTCCCAAACCATTTTGCACCAGCTGAGATACAAAAGAGCATGCTGAATTTTGAATTCTACAAAAGAAAAACTATTGAAGAAATGGTTAAGCTGTTAAGTTTTGGGAATGAGAGGGTTTTCCAAGGCCAGTCATCTTATCAAAATCATCATACTGTATTGTGACACAGCGGAGAAACGTTTCACCTTCAGAGTCCACTAGACGCCACCAGAGGGCCCCAGAGGCAAGAAAACTGTCTCAATTAGATGTCTCAGTACTAACTCTAATTGTCTTAATTGAGAGAACTATATTAACGTAGGTCGCTGCGTCAGCATGCGTAGGCTGCAAAGGAACAAGTAAAAGGTTTATTCCATGCTGAAAAGAGAAGAAAGGAAAAACAACATTTCGGCTGTGGAGCCTTCTTTGGGTGTGAGAAAGACAGGGAAGTCGGCGGACTAATTATATAGCATAGGAGAGCAAAAGCCGGGGGCGTGGAGGAGGCGGGAGCAGGGGGGAGGCAGAGTGGGCACTCAGGTGGTGCAAAGTCGAGAGGTGAAGTCGAAACCTGCAAATGAATAAAGAGGATTAGAAGAAAACGAGTCTGTCGTTGAGAGAAGGGGGGAGGTGTGAACCAAGTCTCAGGATCATTTTGGTTTTGGGTATCTTTCTGCTGTAGGAGTTAAGAAACCCTTCTTTGAGAACGGAGACGGAGAGATCAGTGTGATCATGGCCATCAGAGGTTGAATGAGAAACTCATGAGAATTACAGCCCTAACATGCTCTCTGAAGTGGTCTCCGAGTCTCCCCACACCCAAAGAAGGCTCCACAGCTGAAACATTGCGTTTCCTTTCTTCTCTTTTCAGCATGAACTATATTAAATGCTCACACGTCTGCTCAGCTGTTCGTCCCAGAACCACGCCAAGAGTCCTGAGCTCAGCTCAGGCACACCCTTATTCTCCACAAGAGAGTATAAATCTTTCACAGTCTTATCTCTCAACCTTAAACTTGGATAACGCAATAACCTACAAGGAGCGCTCTATATCCTTCTGACGTAACGCCAGCGAACAGCGCAGCCCAGTAACCCACGCACTGTCGCAATATCTATGGATCAAGTCGCTATCAGAACTAATGAAGGGAGATGGGCTGATTGCAAACCTTTCTGGGAAAATGAGAAATTTTCCCGTTGTTAATCGCTGAGTCTTAAAGGTCCAAAGACGCAGCTCAGGGTTTACATCCAGAAGAGCTCACTGTGCATGGCTGTGCAGACTTGCCTGGTGGTGGATGAGGCAGACCAGCCTCCTGTAATAGCCGATGGGCTGGCTGGGCTGGAATCGGAGGTGGAGGGCGAGCGAGCTCTCTCCAGGGAGAACGCCCCAGGGTCTGTCGATGCCGAAGATGCTGTGGCTGCCGTCGATGCAGAACTGGTAGTGCGCGGGCACATCTGAGGTGTTGGTCATTTCCAGAGTTTGGACTGCAGACCCCCCTAGCTCCACACAGCCAAAATTCACCACAGAGTTCGTCAACGACACCAGAGGACCTGGAGGAAGACAAAACAAAGGAGAAGGTATAATTGATTATCTACCATTAGAAAGCGTTTGACCTTTTCTAGATTCAAAAATCTACACTGCATATCCATAATGCTGTATATTAAAAATAGAATTACAACATGGGGAACTGACACAAGATTTATCCATAGTAACAAGGTCATTGTAACATAACAGATTAAAATCGCATACTGCATAAAGTAATATAACTCATTTTTAGCTCTGTTTGGTCTCTAAATTTGGTTTGGTGTCATACAGTAAGTAGGGAAAAATAAAAGGTATTCTTCAAGCCTAGCGAGTAAAAATTAGCGGATGATTTAAAAACCCCAGAAAGTTCCATTTAAAATAGAAAGAAAGCTAGAAGTTGACGTTTTAATAGCTAATGTTTTCAAAAGAAAGTTATACAAGCTATCCTATTGGAGGTACTCAATGTGAGGACCCCAGGCCTTGGGCTGGTCTTTACCTTTACAGCTTCCAGTCACCTTCAGAAGGGCCTTGCTGACATCGCCGGCGGTGGTGACGTAGAAGTAGTCCACACTGGAGCTGCCCACTGTCTGAGGACTGAACCGCAGTGGGATCCTCAGTGTGCTGCCTGACGGCACACAGCCTTGCCTGGTCTCACAGGAAAACACATCCTCTAGCAGTGCAGGACGGGCAGCCTTGGTAACTCTGAATGGAGCTTTCACCTGCCAACCGTCACAAATGCACACCGACAGTGAATGAATATTAAAGTACCGTACATGTTAGTTTTATGAAAAAGAGAGAACATTCAATAAATTGTCTTTGACGCGTTGAGTTCCAGACTCCCATAACGCTTTGTGTAAAGAACTGCCTCCTTTTCTCCTTTTAAAATGCACTTCCCCTATGCTTTCAATTGTGTCCTTTGGTTCATAATAAATAATAAAAATAATAAACTTTATTTTATATAGTACCTTTAAAGGCAGCTTCTCAAAGCACTTTAAAGAATGACAACAACAATAAATAAAAAGAATACACAAGATTAAACACAATTACAATACACAGAGGAGACCGTGGATGGTGGTACTAAGAAAAGTAGAAGCAGAGGGGTAAAGAATGGAACCAGTTAACTAAAGGCTTTTCTGAAAAAGAGGGTTTTGATTCTGGATTTGAAGGAGTTTAGAGAAGGTGACTTTCTGATATCCTTGGAGAGAGAGTTCCAGAGCTTGGGTGCATAACAGGAGAAGGCCCTGTCACCCATACAATGTAGACAGGCTTGGGGGACAGTTAGGAGACCAGAATTAGAAGAGCGAAGGTTGCGAGTTGGGGAGTAGGTCAATAATAGTTTATACAGTTACTGAGGTGCCCAGCCATGCAGAGCCTTAAAGGTGAGCATGAGGATTTTAAAGTCTACACGGAATTTGACAGGAAGCCAGTGCAAGGACTCCAGGATAGGAGTAATGTGATCACTTGCACTAGACCTGGTCAGGATTCTGGCTGCCGAATTTTGGACATACTGCAGTTTGTTCAAAGCAGATTTAGATACCCCAGCAAGTCGAGAAAAGGTTTATGTTTCATTGTTGATTCTAAAGTCCAGAGGGTGAACTTTGTCAGTGCATTTGAGCATTCTGAATACTTCAATGATTCACCCAATGTAAAAAGGTGCCTCTCACCCCTTCATCAATTATCAAATTAATTAAATTATTAATTAATGTGCCACAAGTGAAACTATTACAAACAAAAGTGGCCTTAACGAGTTCTAGTGGTAGGTCGTCTGAAATCACTATTTTCATTACTGCTGGTCTGCCACAATCCTCTTGTAATCTGTTCAAAACTTAAAAGATTCAGATCTTTTAGCCTGTCTGTACAGGACATTCCTTTGAACTTAAGGACGTACTGATTGCTCCCTTCTGGTCTCACTCCAAAGCAGCGATACCTATTTTTGTATCGTGGTGATCACGGATGTATACAATGTTCTAAATGAGAGCATCATAAAATTTTAACGTGGCATCCCTGAAATGAAATACAGTACTTTTACTACATATCTTCATATCTGCTTTGCATATTTTATTTTTAAAACGATGTCTCTACTTTAAAACTTGTCTTTCATTCAAGCTCAGTGCTTCACAGTTTGTATTTGTAGCTGTATGTTGTATTGAATGGGAAAGGTATATTACACTAAAATGAAAAATATGAATGCATAAGGACACACTAGGTGAAGGAAATTATTGCTGTATTTGAACTAAGCATATGAGGGCATTTTTAAAAATCGTTTGTCATCTTGATTTGCACGTCTTACCACAGACAGGTTGTGAACTTCAAAATGCTTTTCCACGGTGCTCCCCACGGCCACACTACCAAAGTCCAGAATGCTCTGGGTGTCTTCCTGCCCTGACGTCTGAGAGAGATGCCCTGGCGCGCTCACCAGGAGGTGGGAATATTTTGCTGTGCAGACACAGACAATGATGTGAAAGACACATCAGATGCATAGCGCAGTACAGCCAGTGATAACTATTTTAACAATAATATCTTCCTCCACCAATTCAGAAGGTTGTGGCTTATAAGTGTATCTGTACTACAATGGATACCATGTATCATTCCTTACAGCAACGTCCCTCAGTGAAGACTTAATTGTATTTTTTCAGCCGATTTCAAATCATTCAGCTTTCAGACTAAATTCATTTTAGAATGTGGCTTTTATAACACTTAGCTTTCGCAGGAAAACAATATAAGCAGATTTTACAAAAGAGAAACATACAATGTAGGGCAGACAAAAATCATTTCTGAAAGAAAATACTACCTGCAAAAAGTAGTAATCTCTGTTATTATAAACTTTGGTTAAGGAATATGTTACGACCCCAAGTGTCTAGGGGTAAAGGGGTGTAATATTTAGGATAATTCTTTTGGAAGCAGGTGGGTTTTGGTGAGGGACTAGGAAGCGTGATAACAAGGGTAAGGAACTAGAGTGGTGCCAAAGGAAAGAAAATAACAAACAAAATGGAGCTGGCTAGGACAGTGAGGGAAAGCTAATCTGACTACAAAAGAAAACCCGAAACACACGGTCTTCGGTATCTTCAACACCCTAACTAACCTCCCCTGACTACCCAAAACCATACAAGACAAACGGCAGTCACCCACACTAAACTAGTGTTACTAATACAAAGTAGTTCAGGTGGGTAGCTGCGTCAGCATGCGTAGGCTGCAAAGAAACAAGTAATAGGTTTATTCCATGCTGAAAAAAAGAAGAGAGAAAAAACACAGTTTTGGCCATGGAGCCTTCTTCAGCCTTCTTGACACCTGAAGAAGGCTCCACGGCCGAAACTTTGTGTTTTTTCTCTCTTCTTTTTTTCAGCATGGAATAAACCTATTACTTGTTCCTTTACTAATACAAACTCAACTAAGTGTGTAAAGTGTACCCAACAACCTAAACTAACCTATATACAAAAGTTCACACAAGTTAACCAGGAATACAAATAAGGGAGAACAAGGGTAATCAACGGGAACAGGGTACAAAAGAACACAAAGGTTGAACATGTAACATGTTAGGGCAAGGTCATGGCAAAACAAGAATAAACACAAACAAACGAACAAAAACCAACAAAACCAACAAAGCCAAAGCTGTACGAAAATACACACATGCACAAAGCAAAACAAACCAAACCAACGAAGGCGAAGCGATAACCAAAAGCGAAGCGATAACCAAAAGTGAACGGGACCGAAGTCAAATGAAAGGCCTCTTCTTCCTGAAAACCTCCATGTTATGTAGTGTTCTGATTGGCTGAGAGGTTGATTGATAATGATGTCATACGGAACAGTGGTGTAATGGTGGGCCAAAGGGGAAGGGAGAACAATCAAAGGTCAGCAGTGTGGAACATAATAAAAACACACACAGACCACACACTGGGACGTAACAGAATAAAAAATCAAGATCAACTAATCCTGCAACATGCAAAGTGAATCATCTTACTCTTAATATGTTGATATTATTCCAACTTAAATGGTGCAGCATTCATGTTATTCATGTTATTAAGTTGAAAGATGTTTAAAAACAAATTACAAAAATGTTTAAAAACAAAATCACACATATCTCCTATTATTGCAGCTAATCCTATTAGAACTTGCCATTTTCCATTTAAGGCATGGGCACACAAGTTTCAATCACATGCTTAAATCCCAGAAAATCTAAATTTTGTACCCAAAGTAGCAGGAGACTCAAAACATCTGTTCAGTGAAGGCACAGTATGGCACAACACTTTTAAAAGTGCTTACACCCCAGCACCTTTTTAAAACAAAATACCAATGACAACAACTACATAAGTTTACTGATGAACCTATAGTGCTGTTTCCGGTATCATGATCATGTTCAACCGGATAAAAGCCGCATATTTTCCTGCAAGAACAGCTTTACAAACCTATCTTACTCATCAAGTGTACTGTATGCGAAGATGCATTTATATATCATCTTAGTCCCCTGAGATTTAAGATCCGGCTTGAAATGCACTGAAAACACCTGGATCAGCTCGGAGATGGTCAGTCTTACACAGGGCTATGATGCGGACATTTCTCTTGGTCTCCCCATGGTCTCCGAAAGCACAGGTGGCGACTTCCTCGTACACTAGAGCGGCCTTAGGGCTGAAAACCACTGTCACCTGACACTCCACCCCAGGCTCCAGGAGACCACTGGCCGGGGAAAGCTGGAAAGGCTCGGGCACTTCCCAGGAGAACAATGTCTTGAGCTTGCTGAAGTAAAAAAAAGGAAGGTGAGTAATGGAGGTACGGTATACAGGCTGAGAAGGCAACAGCACATTTATACAGATGCAATACTGCTGGGAATGAGCCACACATTCTTCACTCAAGAAAACCAAGATTTTGTACACAAAGTAGCAGCAGACTCGAAACATCTGTTCAGTGAAGCCACAGTCTGACTTTTTTTTTTATGGCACAAGACTTTTGAAAGTGCTTACACCCCAGCACCTTTTTAAAACAAAATATCTTAGTTGATATTGATAAACAAAAAGAATCTTAGTTGATTCTGCTCCCCTGAATTCCAAGAATCTGAGGCTTGTACTCCCCTTACTATTGTCGCGTGCTCATGTGTCTAAGGTGTGTTTACCGGATGCAGGAAAGTCTCACAACTTCTCTGCTAAGCTGTGGCTAGGGCTGGGCGATATGGCCAAAAACATTATCCCGATAAAAATTTTCATATCAGTCGATACCGATAATTAGCACGATAAATGTCAAATCATTATTTCTTTCAAGTTTAAAGGCAGATTTTTTCTCCTGAGTGAAAGTTGAAGAAACCAGACAGTTCATTGGTAAATGAAACAACTCTTTATTTTAAGAACACAACAAACACTTGCCAAACAGCAGAAATATTAAACAAATCTGTTAGCTGCCCGGTCTGCGCAGTAGCGCGGTATTTTGTGCGCATGCGCATATCATGCGCAAAGCATTAACATATATATCGAACATTTATCGAACTTTTGTTAAAATTATATCGAGGAAAATTATATCGCGATAATTATTGTTATCGAATTATCGCCCAGCTCTAGCTGTGGCATGGTCAGACACTAGAGGAGCTGGCTTTCTGGCCAGAGTGGAAAAGGCAATTCAAGGGTTTTGCTCAAGCACTTATTTGAATGAGAAGTGACCGGGAATCACAAACATATGAAAAATATCCCCCCAAAAAACAATTGATGTCAATCAGCATAATGTCAACAGTTTGCCAGATAGGTTAATTTTAACATTATTTTATAATGTGTTAATGCAGCTCCACACAGTTATTAGCACTAGTGAGTATTTTTATAATACTATTACAAAATATAGTTTTGCTCAACAACATTTAGAACAGAACATTTTAGAACTGCACATATGATACAAAGATGGGGAGATTTTGAAATATTGTTTACTTTGGCCGCTATTGTGATATACTTTTGATATACTCCCTTATCCATAACATGTGCTGTACGTTTACTGTACATATACTGTATGTAATGGATATAATCCCTACCTCACAGTTTTAAAAATAAAAAAATGTCCTGAACATGTTTTCAAAGCGTCGCTGTGTCTTACAGAAAATTGAGATACAATGTATTCAGCAGTAAAAAGCAACAACTTAAATCCCATTTTTCATACAGAAAGTTTTGATTTCTTCAGGAAAGTTGTAATGCAAGAGAGAAGAATCCAGTACACCATTATACATGGGAGAAACACTCACTTGTCTTCAAACCGTAGTAAAATAAAAGGTACAGTACAGTGTTACTCATTCTTACTTCAGTGTGTTAATCAAATGAGAATTCATGCAATTACCTGGTATTGCGAAAACAGAATGTGGTCTGAGAGCTGTCATGAGCAGCACACATGGGCACAACCACACACTCGGGCATCTCTAGTGAGTGGCAAGGAAGGGTGGCACAGAGCATGACTTGAAAAGCCCCTTCCTTCGTCTCAAACTGAATGCTATCCGAGTACTCGCGCTACAAACAGAAGGCTTACATTGGAGAATTCTTTTCACACCAGGAGTGCATATTGTGGTTACAGCATTTGATTTGACAAAAATCGAAAATTTCTGAAGATATCCATGTTTCCTTATTAATCAATTTAATTAGATATATTCAATCTGGATTCCCATGTATCGTTTAACACAATTTACGGTACTGCAGATATTAATTTGGCATACATTTTTCACCATATCCTTTTAAACACTCATTAATGTCAATCAGGTCTAAAACAAAAATACATTTTCTTCAGAAAATTCCCCTCCAAAAGAAAGCCATTTCTGTTGAACTAACTAAATGAAAACATCGAACCGTTCAGGTGCTTCATTTTTTTTTTTAAATTACATACCCTGTTTTGTAAATGCAATCAAAAAGGATGTGATTTAAAGTTTCTTTTACCACTGAATAATGGCAGAGAAAGTCCCTCCAATAACCTTAGTAATGTAATCAATACTAGTTCAAACACATGCACAAAATGTGTACAAGGTGTGGTTTAGTTATAACAGTACTAAATTGAGGCAATTTTGCAAAAAATATATTTCCTCATAAGCATGATTCTTTTCATAAATCATGTACAATTTACTGACAGCTAGCCATGTCATTTCTACTACACAATGCTGTTACAATGTTGATAACTGTAAGAGCAGACATTTTCTTATCTCTAGCTATTCAGTCCCGGTTTCTGAACAAGAGGTTTGCTTGCCTTTACCTTTTCCAGAGGGCGGAAAGTGACAGGGAGGGAGAAGGAGGTCCCTGGGCTCAGGACAATTGTCTGAGGAAACAAGGTTGTGAAGAATCTGGAAGATGGTGGCCTGTGGAGGCAAACTATGTTAATTATCATTTCTGACCATCAGAACAGAACTTGCATTTCATGCTGTCTAAGAATCTCTAAAACCTGTTTGTCGGCCAGATTCCCCATCGACAGAGTTTTATTTTTCATGTATACTGTGCTACAGTCTGGTACTTTTGAAGAATTTAAGACTGTAGCTCCAAAGCTCAAGGTGGCCTGGCTGTGCTCAATGTCAAATTTCAATTCAAATTCAATTTCAAATTGAAAAAATATGGACTATTTCAGCTGAAGGTCACAGTTGGATTCTGAAGAAGATTTGGCGGGGAGTTTCGTCAGCGTGCGGGCTAAAATGAACCAGGCCGTGGTTAATGCCACATAAACAAGTAAATAGGAAGAGCAGCCTTCCTTGGACGGTTGGATTGTGTGGAATGTACAGATCTCTCAGTCACAGTTCCGATTTAGGAATATGAAGAATGAACTTCCATCCATCCATCCTTTTTCTTCATCCAAGTCAGGGTCGGGGGGGAGCCAGAGCCTATCCTGGCAAGCAACAGGTACAAGACAGGATTCACCCCGGACGGGATGCCAGTCCATTGCAGGGCAGACATAGACACAAACAAGCACACACTCACACCAAGGCATATTTTCCCAGAAGCCATTCACCTTCCCAGCATGTTTTTGGACTGTGAATCCCGAGGAAACCCATCTGAACATGAGGAGAACCTACAAACACCACACTGACAGCACCCCATGTCCAGGAGTGAACCCAGGGCCCCAGCGCTGTGAGGCAGTAATGCTTATCACTGTGCCACCGTTCTGATCCCCTTTACAATAGTTCAGAAACACAGCTAAATTACCTTTGAAAATGTTACTCTTTCCAATAAATTAACACATTCTCCCAACTGCTAAGCTGTGCTTTGGAGACATGGGAGAAATGATTCACCTGAACTGCAGCTTCTGCAGTTTGATGTGAATGTTCTTCAGCAGAAGAGTTTTGGTAAACTCCCCGCCCAGCTCCCAGCTGTCCCACACCAGCTCCTCAAGCACCTCCACACCAAAGAAAGATCTCTTCTGCAGCTGCTGCCTCTGGGTCTCAGGGCGTCTGGGTACTGCCACCTGTCAGCCACACACAAGATGGGGATCAAACAGACTGAAACAGAAAACATAAGGGTCCTGTCCAGACAGGAGGAGGGAGAGCAAACCATGAGCATTTGTTCCATGTCTATCTTCACATGTTTTTACCTTTATATATTATTTGATTTCTTCATGACCTACCCCTGTAGGAGAAAGGGAAATCTGATTTTGCAATAAAGCACATTGCCTTTTACATACATGGGCAGGGACATGCCAAAGACACTTTTCACAAAGTTACATTAGTTGTGTGCTCATTGTCTTTGTTTTCTCAAGTCTTGACAGTTCTACCGCACACCATTAAGTACAATCAGGTGAACGTAATGAAAAAGACCTCAAAGATTTTACTGAGGAAGTATTACAAATAATCACTGAAAAATCATTCCATTTTCAGAGCTGCTTATTACAGATTCGCAAAAGAACAAGGGACAAGGCTACATCCTGGACAGGATGTTCAGACCGTACATGTACATCTTAGGATATACAGTACGCACACAATACAGACATAAATCAGTCTGTGGAAGGAGGCAGGAAACTGAAGCAACTGAAGATGTATAAAACATACACAAACATTGAAAGAACATGGCAACTCCACACAGAAGTCAGTACAGTTCAGAATCAACCCCAGGACTTGAGACCTATGGAACAGAAGCATTTATTGTAACAGTGAAAAGTTTGCACTTTCAAACAAAACATTTTCAAGTACATCATTTACATTAGCCAGCAGCTATATGACCCTGCAACTCACAACTGGTGACCCACTGAAGCTAAGCGTGTGTGAGCCTGGTTAATACCTGGATAGAGACCTCCTGGAAAAGCTAAGGTTGCTGCTGGAAATGGTTTTAGTTGGACCAGTAGAGGGCACTCCAATTGCAGTCTGTGTGGGGCCTAATGTCCCAGTATAGTGACAGTGACACTATACTGTAAAAAGACACTGTCCTTTGGATGCAACGTAAGACCAAATCCCTGACTCTCTGCGGTCATTTAAAATCCCAGGGCATTTCTCGAAAAGAATAGGGGTGTGTCCTGGCCAAATTTCCTCTGGCCTATCATGGCCTCATAATAATCCACATTTTTGCATTGTCTTCATCACTCTGCTCTCCTCCCCATTGAGCTGGTGTGTGGTCAGCGTACTGGCTCACTTTGTCTGCCGATACATCATCCATGTGGGGGCTGCACATTGGTGGTGGTGGAGGGGAGTCCCCATTACCTGTAAAGCACTGTCAGCAGAGTGTGATATAGGTGTAAGAAATACCATATTAGTTTAAGGAAGTATTATTATTCAGTAATGAGTAAGACAAGCCACCAGAGGGAGCCCAATACGAAATACACTTTATGGACAACAAAGGTCAGCAGGATTGAAAAACTGAAAAAAGAAAGACATATGGTTTAAAAACATGACTGCTTATGAAAATAACACAGATCGGTGGAAACTACTAAAGTAGTAGGATTACAGCATTATTGCCCCAAGCTAAATGTATCATTGTGGAGTAACTGAAAACTACATAGGAAAAAAAGCAAATAGCTTGTGTTTAGTTTAATAATGTCACACCATGAGCACAACTAAACTACTGTACAGACTATAGACAGCTACACTGCCTTCCATGTTTATTCATAACCCTGATAAAATGGTAACAAAAATATCACATAGCCAAACGAGCTATGGACTAAATAATGTGTCTCTAATAATTAATAATGTTATTCTCCAATCACAAGAGCATTGCACAGAGCAAAGTCATATAGTACTGTATGTTATACATTAACTCCAAGACACAAGGGGGTAACATTCAGTTACACCTCTAGAACATTCTGCTCTTTAGAAATTCAGTGAAAGTCTCGTCTGCAGTTTTCCTGTTCCGCTGGGGAGTAGTAGCGTGGAGTAGGAGGGTGGTTATAAAAACCCATTAAAAGCCGAATCTTCTACTTTCCTCTGTAGTGCTCATTATTAAGACATTTAAGGCTACTGGTATCGTGGCCAACCTGCTAGCAATAGGATGCAACTGTCCTTTGCTACCTTGGGCTGTGAGACAAGTGGTTTGGGAGACAACTGTAAATCCAAAGGAAACTGAGAAGACACACTGCTCATCTTTGGCGCACAAAGTGCTGAGAACTAAGTTTAAAATGTCCCTTGCATGAATGTGGAGCTCATAGCTGGGTCGCAAGGAAGAGGTCGAACCAGAAAAAAGGGCTGTCTTTTGCCAATATGCCAGTCATTTGTATGCCAGTTGAAACAATGCCTTATGGTAAAATGAATAGCAAATTGAGCCTTTTGGATATTCTTTAGGTTTGGTGTAAAAAGATAAAGCCCATGATGAGACTTGGAAATATTTGATAATGTTTTTTGGGTTGTTTTGCATCTACAGGTCCCAAAGCCCTCATCATGATTAAGGAAATCATGCACCCCAACAAACGCCAGGACATTGCGACCAGGCATGAGGTTCTTTCTTCCAAAAAGCTCGAGCTTTACTGAGGATAAACATGTCAGCAAGGCAATGAACTAAAACATATGTCCAAATCAACAAAGGTATGATTAACTACACACAAAATACATCTTCTCAACCGGCCATCCCAGACTTCTGACCTGAATCTAATTGGACATTTGTGATTCAAACTCAAGATGGAAGTTCACTAGCTGAAACCAAAGGGTCTGAAGGACATCTGCATGCAGAGATGCTAATAAATGTATTACTCTGAAATTATAGAACCTCATAGCACACTACAGGGGGCATCTTGCCAGTGTAATCCCTGCCAGAGGAGGATTTACAAAATACTAGCTACGGGGGTGAGAATAAATGTGAATCTCATGTTTTCTGAAATTAATTATCTTTGACAAATATGACTTTGCTCGTGGCACAGTGGCTAGCACTGCTGCTTTGGAGCTCTGGGGCCCTAGATTCTATTCCAGACCTGGGGTGCTATATGTGTGGAGCTTGCATGTTCTCCCCATGTTCGCGTGGATGGATTGAAAGATGGATGGCTTTGTTCTGTGCAATGCTATTAATAGTACTAAACATTAAACCACCCTGGTTTGAAAAATTCTGGTCTAGAGGAAGGAGGTCCACCTACAGGTCTGCCAACACCACTGTGCTGCCTAAAATACCTTGGTTTCCTTAGACATCTACCATGGCAAAAACAGGAAAGAAGGTGTAGAATTACAATGCCTTTGAATTATATGTTTGAATGGGAGACACAGAGCATGACAATGTTTTCTAGAAAAAACACTTGCAGGTCACGTTCATATGTCATGCTCTTACAAAAGATAAAGACATAACAGCCAGCAGCCATATCACCCTGTAACCCACAACTGGCAACCCGCTGAAGCCCAGCAGGTGTGAGCCTGGTCAGTACCTGATTGGAAGACCTCCTGGGAAAAACTAAGGTTGCTACTGAAAGAGACATTAGTGGGGCCAGCAGGGGGCGCTCACCCTGCAGTCCATGTGGGTCCTAATGCCCCAGTATAATGATGGGGACACTATACTGTAAACAAGCACCGTCCTTTGGATGAGACATAAAACAGAGGTCCTGACCCTCTGTGGTCATTAAAAATCCCAGGGCGTTTCTCGAAAAGAGTAAGGGTGTAACCCAAGGGCCAAATTTCCCATTGGCCCTTACCAATCATGGCCTCCTAATCCCCATCTATGAACTGGCTTCATTACTCTGTTCTCCTCCCCACTGATAGCTGGTGTGTATTGAGCATTCTGGAGCACTATGGCTGCTGTTGCATCATCCAGGTAGAAGCTGCACATTGGTGGTGGTGGAGGGGAGTCTCCATTACCTGTAAAGCGCTTTGAGTGGAGTGTCCAGAAAAGCTAAATGTAAGCAATTATAACATCATCATATTTTTTTACTCTGGGGTTGGGATACCTGTTCATGTTTGGCGAAGTTTGTCTTCTGAAAAGTTTCTGCGGTCAAGGGACAGCGGTGAATTTCTGCCAACATTGCAGCCCTGTCAAAAAAGGGAATATAAGAGTTCAGAGACGTATGGCTAAATATTTATTGAGCTGCTCCATGTTCATTTCTATTATTCTGATATTTGAAGATGTGCTCTGTAAATGTTGAGGGCATATTTGAAAGGGGGTTTATGTTATTATGTTAGACATTGTATCTGAAACAACACAACTGCCACCTGCTTTGATGTCTTCTTTGTACATTAAAACCCGAAAGACTGTAAACAGTTGTAAATATCTGCACCTCAAGCTTCTATAATAATACAAAACCAGGTTCCAGCAACTAACGCTTGTTACAGATATTATTATGGTACCAATAATTTAAAAATTATATCATTTTAATATAATTATATAACAATTAAATCGAGACTATCTTCCTTTGCTGGATAATCTTTAATCTATTTTTAAAGAGTATATACCTGTATTTATAAAAATAGCATAAACCCTTTATACATGCAGAGAAAAACAGAGTGTATGCCTCACACCTAACTACGCCACTGTTTCTTATATACAGTATATACAGAGACAAAAGCATGATTATTTTATTTTATAACTATATTGTGTTCTAATTATTCTTATATTCTAATTATATGGAGAAAATACTCAAGCAGTAGGCAGATGGTCTTTGAAGGAAAAGAATGATGCTTTTGCAGTACGTTCTTCAAAAGATCACCCTACACCCCAGCAGCCAAACAGTTACCCTTTTCGGCAAAGTTCAGGATTTAAACTTCGCTTTTTTTCATACGTTTGTACAACAGTTAAGTCAGAAGGCTGTGAATTTATGACATCCATTGCTCATTTCTTCCTTTCCCATTAACTTAAGTGACACGACAGGCTGGAGAAAATCTGAACCAATAAGGGTGATTACTTTAAAAGATCACACAATCTGTTCATATTTCAGTAATGAGCCTGACATTCCCTGATTGATTAAACGGCAAAGTGTAAATATTTTACAGGGTCGGGCCGTTTCAGTTATTGTTCCTGATTTACAATCCTCCAAATGCAAATTTATTTATATATTTAACCATAAAATGAGTGTTTCTGGTAACCGTTTTCAAGTAAGGACTTACAGGTCCAAATGAGGCCACACTGTTAATTTAATATACAAAAAGCAGAAGTGGCATATGCAATAACAGAACTAGGCAGGTCCACATTTTCTATTGATCATTCCACTGCCTCTCTCAACAATTTCCTAATAAGCCAGCAGCTCAACAAAGCCATGTTTCTTGCCTCTTGAATTACGTTTTAGGTGGCAAAACATGAATTCCTTGTGTTTAATGTGCAAACTTGAGGGTTGTGTTAAACATTTTAGCTATGCTTAGCTGGTCTTCAGTAATAAAGAATCACTTCTGACCTTCTTTTATGCAGCCTGATGTGTTTGTAGCACTGGATCTTTAGGAAAAACTGTCTGTAAGAATCCACAGATAAAATATGCATTAAAATGCATTTCCAACTATATAAAGACATACCTAATATGTGGAGGCTTTAGAATAAAGTGCTATATTTATATGTCTCTGGGTGGCACAGTGGTTAGCAATGCTGCCTTGCAGCTCTGGTGCCCTGTGTACAAATACGGACCTGGGGTGCTACAGTATTTGTGTTGGATTGTGTGTGTTTTTCCTGTGTTCACATGGCTTTCCTCCAGCTATGCTGGTTTCCTCTCACAGCCCAAAAACATTCTGGTAAGTTAAATGGCTTTTAGGAAAAACACCTTAGATGTCAGACACTGCGCACATGTCTGTGATTGTAACTGTGTGTGCCCTGTGATGGACTGGCGTCCTGTCCAGGGTGTATCCTGCCTTGCGCTCGTGGCTTGACAGGATAGGGTCAGCCTCCAACTTGACCCTGAATTGGAAGAAGCAGTTAGAGGCTTTCTTTATACGGAAGAAATATGTCTCAAATATACATTTGTTATATTTTAGGTCTCATCGTTCAGGAGATATCAAGGAGGCAACAGAATTGTTATTGCATTACGCTGACAAACAGGAACCTGGAAATCAGAAGAACCACACCTAAAAGTTGAATCTAAATCTAAAAATTAAGATTTGATTAAATGTACGAGGAGTAATACAGTGCATTGCAGAAGTACACAGACTTCTGCATGGTTTTTACTTTTCATTGCTTTAAAGCTTATAGTCATGATGCTTTGAAGAAGCAATTCATATTTGTTGTGTAAACAACAAACGTAAAAAAATAATTTACGTGAAAGGACAATGGAATAGTCAGGTTTGCAAAAGCATTCAAGCCCTTTGCTGTGGCAAATCTAAATTAATTTAGGTGCAAAAATGACCTTAAGCAGACACACAATTAGTGAACTCTGTGTGCAATAACAGTGGATCCTATGATTTTAGAATACACACACCTATCTCTGTCATTCTTAGTCAGGTAGTGAATTTCAAGCAAAGATTAAACCGTGAAGACTTAGGCGTTTTCAAAAACTCACTGATAAAGTTGAGTTTTTTGAAAGGTCAAGAGAAGTGTATAAACACATTTCAAACAGTTTCAATATCTTTTTATGCATGGTGAATTTGATGTTGAAGGTACCCAGACATTGTAAACTGAGCAAGAAGGATACTGGGAAGCCCCAGTGAAGAAAACTTTGTAAGAGTTACAGAGTTCAGTGGCTGAGATGGGAGAAAATGTCCATGGGTCAACAACATCCCGGTCACACCACAAAGGGAGCTGAAAATAAAATCCTGCATGGAATTTGCAATAAAGCACTTAAGCGAAACAACAGAGTGTTTCACTTAGTCATTACCATCTCCCTGGTCGAGCACGATGGTGGCAGAATACTGATCGCTATGTTATAGATCGGCTTCTCATCAGCACGGATTGAGCAGCTTGTCAGTAAACCAGGAACACGGGAGGAGCAAAGTAGTGAGAAATCACTGAGGAAAACCTGCTTCAGACTTAGCATGAAGACAAAATTTCACTTTTCCACAGGACAATGACCCAAAGCACAAGGCTAAGCTACACTGGAAAGGCTTAACATTAGAAAGTGAAAGTCCTTGAGTGAACCAGTCAAAGCCCCCACTTGAATCCTATTAAGGAATCACAGGACGACTTTAAAACTGCTGTCTGTAAGCAAACCCCAAGCAACTTGAGGAGCTGATAGACTTGTGGCTGTACCTGCTGCCAAAAAATACTTCCACAAAGTATTACGGAGTTCAACGATTGTGCAATCAACATATTTTGCCCACATTTATTGCAACCTATCTCAAACATAGAAGTCTTTAGTTTGAGTGTCCAGGTTTTTGATTGAAATTTCAAGTTTAAAAGAACGGGTATGCACCATAGGGAAATTTCACAGAATGGGACACCACAGGCAGGGTCTGAATTTTTTTTGAAAAGGCGCTGTGTGTATGAATAGCATCATTTTAAAAATGATTACACATAGTTCTAATTACAAAATGTTGAAATTGATTTAACCTGGAAAGGTAGTATCCATCACCAAGATATCTTAAAAAACTAAGTAACTAAGTTATGAAATAACTTTGGATATTTTTACACAGCTCAATGTTACTCAATAAGACCCCAATGTCATTAATCTCGCAGGTTTTTATTTTATTACTGGCGTGTGTTTAGGATGGCGTGTGAATGTGTTGGGTGGATGCATTTGGTCATTGGCATTATGTTGTATATTTGTATTGTATGTCTTTAATTGAGCTCAGATACAATTCCATGAAACTCATTGTCATGGGATCAAAGTATTGAATTGCACTAAGAAGTTCAATGCTACTGAGATGGTGAGTAGCCCACAAAGTAGCAGGACGTTTTTGACCCAAATGTGTGGTCAGAAAAGTGGTTGGGAATTCAGCTCAAACCCAACACTTTCAGAAATCTCTGACATCCTCAGGATATAGGACTACAATCTCAGGACTACAATCTGCGGCTCACTGAATGACCCAAGTGTCTGCTGTAGAATGCCATACAACACTAAGAAAATACAAATAGCAATTAAATGACTACCAAAATCATATGGGACTGGATGATGAAACGAGCAATATTAGCTCAGAAAGGTGAAGCTCGTGCTGAATTTGCATGCTGAGAATGCCACAGCATGTCAGAGATTTCTGCTAAGAGTAGAAGAGAGAGAGAGTGTCTTTATTATCCCCGGGGGGGTGGGCAAGCTGTTTTACAGCAGCAGTGTTGGTGTACAGACGGACAGAAGAAAAAAAAACGACAGGAACAACAATATACATACATATTTACATTTAAGGTCAAGGGTTAAGTAGTGAAATGGCTAAAGGTATGAATGAGAACTTGAATCTGTTGGTTTTGGAGTTGAAGTCGGTATCTGTGTTCTGAAGGGAGTAACTGGAAGTTAGGAAACATGGGGGGTGGTGAAGGATCGTCGCAGACGGATTTTGCTTGACGCAAAACACGTGGATGATAGATGGAGGAGAGGGCTGAAAGATCGGCGCCCATGACCTTCTGCCATATTTTCACAAGGCTGCCCACTTCGTTCTTGCTTCTCAGATTTAGGTTGCCAAGGCAGCAGAGCGGGGTAAAAGTTAGAACGGATTCAAGGAAGGACTGATAGAACAAAATCAACAATGAATCACCGACCTTAAAATACTTCAGCTTTGTTAAGAAAAAAAGATGCTATCGACCTTTCCTGAGGATCGGGTCAGTATTGGCTTCGAAATTGGAGCTTGGAGTCCAGAACAGTCCCTAAGTACTTGTATTGTTCTCCTAGCTCCACTGTATCTCTCTTGATGTACAGTGGGTTATGGTGGGAGCATGAGTTTTACCTGAAGTCAATTATTATGTCTAGAATAGATCTGATTGGCGAACTAATAGATTATCCATTAGTGTCTTAGTCAGAGCTCATGGCCAGAGATTCCAAAGTTTTCTAGGATTATTCTAAGACAACAGCAGGTGCCTTCCATCCAGAAGGCCAAGGTTGGACAGAGGTATACTATACCACAGGATAACAACACAAAGCCAACATTTAGCTCCATCACAAAATAGAAAGAGATCTAAAGCCTCTGGTATGGAAGAAAGCACAGGCCATACAATCTGGAGGAGCAGAAGAAACACGGAGAAACGGTCAAATATTTTTCATGAGAAGTTTAAGAACTTAAGACACGCCGATCTTGAGGCCATCAAAGGAAGGTTCACAACACACTGGTTGACTATTGGGCAATAAATACATCTGAGCAGTTCCACGAGTCTTAAGTCTTTTTTATTTTTCTGTGTACAAACAGATATTGGAATTTGGCTGCACCTAAATTGTTATGCTAAATCAATTTTTAATTGCTTCATCAAGTTCATCAAGATGAGTAATTAGATAAATGAATCTATTATTTGTTTGTTAGTGACAGTTATCATGTTAATCCATAAAAAAGTGTGCGAGTCGGAAAAGTGGAAATAAAACCAACTTATTTGATCAGTTATTCTCCTATGCAGTGTTATAGCTAGAAACAACAACGATTTCATGTAATTCTTTAAACACATACAGTATGACTTTAAATCAGTTGGATACAGTAGTCCTACATGTCTCTAAAGATACGACGAGATGCAGAAAATGTAAAAAAAATGAGTTAATAAAGAATTAATCGGAGACGTTTGCACAGGCAACAAATTTCAAGAAGAGTACACCTACTTCTTACTACGAAAATCCTATCTTCTGAAATATAAGGTTCAATACAATATGTTGTACGTCTGACGACTACTATTAGATACGCCATCTTACCTTTTGTGTGTGAATATTTTAAAAAGCAAACAATAAAAAAAAATTCCTAATGCTTTTCAGCAGCTTTAAGCAGCCATGTTGCCGTCTCCGTGGATACACTTTTGTTGATTAAACGCTGCCTTAGTAACAACGGCAGCTAATGAGGGACAAACAACACCAATGGTATGTGCGAAACGGAGAACCTAAAGACGTAATGCTAAAAACCGGTATTTATATAACGCTTTTTTCTTTACTGTACGTCTTCATATTCCATACACTTCCTTTGATCTCCCATCTGTTATACAGTACAACACTATAGACATCAGTGAAGAGTTGGATACATGCTCTTGAATGATAACTGGACAGTGGTTTCAAATCCATACTGGAGTCAGACCCTGTGACCACCACAAGATATATTATTTAGATTGTCTCAATGCTCAAGTCAAGAATTCAGACCCCTCAAAGGCACTGACAATCTGTGGAATTCTTCAGAACTTTCAGAAACACTGACCCAGAGGACAGTATCTAATCACAATTATCGATTAATTATCTATTCTTTGTCTCGTCCAAGAACATCAACACTTTGCCTATCACAGGAGTCACGGCTGCCTTTTTAAATCACTTAGTCCAATTTAATACTGCTTTGTGGACAGTTAATAAAGCCACCTCTTGCCGAGACACACAAAGCAATTTATGCAGCAGGCCATGAGCCGCATGATAGGTTTCTTAAGAATTTGTCTTAAAGAATTTAAGCACAAAGCAGCAGACATTAGATAGCTCTGGACTGAACAGACTTCACCTCCTACAAGACTGCATTTTTCTGCTTCACCAGTACAAAGTGCATCCATATTCACACACACAAATCGTGGAAGTGAGACAGCACTAATTATTAGGGATTTCCACTGATAAGTCAAAAGCCAGGGCCGGATTTTGGTGTTTGTAGGCCCTAGGCACTTTAACTCCAAAAATGTGCAAAAAGAGGGCTAAACGCCAATTGAATTACGTCGATTGACATGATGCACTTTCAAGTATTCTAATGCTAAACCACATGATCGATGGAGCAAGTTGAGCGACCATAACTTCTGTACTTCTAGTTTCTAGAACAGCCGCTAGATAGCGTATGATTATTGGTTTGGAGCACCTAGAGTAGATTGCAAGCATGTTGTTTCAGTTTGTTTTTCTTTAGTCAGTAGTGTTTCCCTCCTTCGTAGGCCCTAAAGATTTTGTAGGCCCTAAGCACTGTGCCTACAGTGTCTAATGGGAAATTTGGCACTGTCAAAAGCTGTGCATTGTTATTTCTGATGGGGCACAACTATTGCATGTCTGAGCAGGGTACTTCATTCAGATCACTTCTGTTAAATGCCCAGCCTTATAAAAAGTAAAAAATGTGAGCCGAATGAAACAGGAAAGACACTCGTCTTTACCAAGCAGTTTGAACTAATGTATAATGAAGGAAAACAGAAAGGCAAAACACCACCTCCTCCACACTCTGGCCCTCCCGTCTGTGTGGAACAGGCTGAAGAGTGACTCGTCCCTGAACAGGACCTGATGCCACTGCAGACGAGTCCATCCCAGCCTCTGTCTGGCCCAAGCCAGTCGGATCTGACGTCTAAGAGCTGTGAGCAGAGGGCCTCTGACAGGTCACCTTGCTCTAAGGCCAGCAGCATGGAGCCTCACTGTCCAGTCACTGATGTGACTTGTGTCTGCTGGCAGTCTCAGCAGCAGTACGGGTGGCAGATCTGAAACGATCTCTCAGATGGACCAGTCTGATGTGTCGGTCCTGCTCTGGTGTGGTCACTCATGGGCAACCGGATCTTGGACAGTCATCTGTCCTGCTGGTCTGCTGAAACCTTCTCTGCAGGCGGGACACAGAGGGGTGGTTTACTCCATAGTGTCTGGCAACGCTGGCACATGATATGCCTGCCTGCAGCATGCCGATGGCCTTCTCCCTTGCTTCTGCTGACATTCGGGGCATTATGGAATGCACAGAAAACTGACCTTGCAGTGGCCTAATGCAAGAAATTGTATAGGGCTAATAAAGTGATGTTATGTTAAGCTTTGAATTAAGGCCTTTTTAAAGGTGACCTGATCAGGCATTATTCCACCTGGACCTCGCTGGGCCAAAGTGCACCTAACGAGCTTTTGTGTGACTGGCAAGTTGCAATGCCTCACTGCCCAAGCTGTACTGCTGGTCAGAGTACTGAAAACTAATTGACAAGTTTTTGTGAAAGAACATAAGCTACAGTATAACTATAGTATTCTGATTCCAGGAAATGTTGCGTTTCTTTTTTCCATCAGTATATATGATGAAGGAAAGGGTTATGTCGTCAGCCCACTGTGACGTTTTAATAATTCATATTTGAAAGCCCCAGGACTCCTCAGACAAGTTGTGGTGCCCAAGTGACTGAGGGCCACTGAGAGCAGGGTAGGGTTAACGGGTCAGGGCTCTCTCAGCTCTCTCAGCTCTCAGAGCTGCCCCTCTCCGCTTCACCTCGAATTGGAGCGGAGCCTCAGGTACGGGGCTGTGTTTCGCCCGTGACGTGTGGGAAGACGAGAGCAGCTCAAAGCCTGGAAGTCACATCTCCTAGGGGTTCTGAATGACTGAAAATAAAATGAATGACAGCGTTTTCCACCAATCAGAACACCTTTTTTGAGGCGGTCAGTGTCAAAGTTCCATTCCAATAGGGGGGAGCCTCACAATGTGAAATGGTCCGGGCCTCGTCTGAGCTCTTGGAGGGCCTGCTTGGTGAGATAATTTGGCTTCACCCTCTAGCTTAAAGGGTAACCATAGTACGAGGAAGCTCGAATACCATTCGAAGAGAGTGAACCAAGAGACAGCTGGAGATGTGGTGGAGGAGGGATGACTTGATGACTGTAAAGGGGGGGCATCTGTGTTCAGTATATACAGTAGCTAATTTCTGTAGTGATGGTGATTAGGTACAGCTGTGTTAGACTGACGTGTTGTTGTTATCCCTCCCGAACTTCAGTTAGTAGCTTCCATTTAACAATTCTAGATCTATCTAAAAAAGAATCAGTCAAAAATAGACAACGTCACAGTAACGACTAAAAGGTTCAGCAGGGAAACACAAACACAAACGATTATAACAGAGTTCAGAAACAGCACAACTGCAGTTGAGGTTAGGTACAGTCAGGTTCGGTCTTACAATCAAGGCTCCTCATTCCCTAACTCACAGACAGTTCTGTTGTAAGACAGTGCTACAATAACAAAAACAGAGGGTTTGTGTTCTCAGATTTCTAAAACGATTTCTCCTGCTGTACCTCCTGTGAGCACTCGTTTTGTAATTTATTAATTTCTTGGTTCAGGGGTTGTTCGGAACTGTTTCTTGACAGATCCCAGTTACTCCATTTCCATAATGTTACCTCTTACTGTATGTCATTATGTACGCATTTTCTCTGCCTCCAAAAGTAAGAAAAGAGTCTGTCTATGTAAGAAGGTACGGCTTTAAATCTCGTAGTTAAAAATAAACCAAATTGCTTTATCAGCATGGAAAGGATGGCCTCTGAAGGAAATAGGTCACACCCCTGCTTTTAAAACACTTCATCACTGCACTTACACAATGACAAACTGGAGTTCTTGTTTTGGTCACCCCTATAATTTGGTTTTCACAAATTAAATGGGCCCAGTGACATCACCATCAAGAGAAGATGATTTTCCTTCCTGTTCATTAGCTTAATTATTTCACTATCAGTAAACCCACTTTAATAATTCATATTTGAAAGCCCCAGCCGTAAATAACAGTCATTTATTTATTATGCTACCGTTAATTTCTTTCACATTTTAATCCATGTTGTTCTAAATCTAAGGCTTCAAACGATAAAGCCTCCTTGAAAAATGGAGGCACTTTCCTGTTACATAATATTGCTGTAAATCTAGCTGCTTCGTGGAGTCTAATTAAGTGACATCAAAAAAAGTTTCCACAAAGTAGCTTCTCTTGAGCTCTGTCTGATATGTGGCTTAATTACTCATATGTGTGAATTTTAAATATACTTCAAAGATTTGCTCCTTTGGACATTTTAATTAAATGTCACTCATCTTCTCTTCTTGCCTGTAGTACTTCGTTCATAACCCAGGATGATTTTTTAAAAATGTATCTCCAAAAAGTTACCTGAACTTGGTACTGTATGTCCAATTGACAAAAATCCAAATGCCACCAGGGTCATTTACTTTGGTCTTTCAGTTAATATTGTATGAATCAGAACTGTGATGACAAAACAACTGCTTAATTTCATCTCGTTAAAAAGATTTAAAAACAAAACCGTTTGGCAAGGAGATTCCAAACCCCACCACTGCATGATTCAGATTACATTTACATACATTTGGCAGGTTTTGACAGCAAACAATTGTTAGATCACTGTGCTAAATATTACAAGACAGGTTTATAATACATCTGCAACATAATGATACAGCTAATTGTAATTGCAAGAGTCAAAGACATCATCTTAAAATTGTTATCTTGCTAAGAATAGCAGAAGCAGCAAGCAACTATGTAGCTTTTATGTCATGCTCTGAGTTTTAGGTGACATGCATCAGATAACTGTACTCGACACAGGCGTGAAATTTCATATTTACCCATTTAACACTTTCTAACGTTTGGCATGTTGACAACACTTGCATTTCTATTATATTGATATATGTATTTCTGGGGAACTCTTTAGCTCTTTTAACCTTGTTTTCAACTACACACAGTGCTTGTTTAGGAGACTAACAGCATATTTAGGTTCAGAGAATCGAATAAAATGTTTATTTAGTCACTTTCTTCATTCAGGTATGACCTATTAAAAATTAAGCCTTTTCATTGGTTGATGACAGACAATTTAATAAATTGGATAGGTTTAAGATTTGCAGTCTAAACTTCCAGTTAGATTTGTCTCTGTCAGTTAGTCACAATTATAAAATGGCAGCGACTGTGGTCAATAGTTAATATGGCTACAAAAATGAATAATCACTTGACATCATTCACTCGTGGGAAGTGCATTAGCTTTGTGCTGCTCTGGGAAAGTTTGATAAGCGTACAATGGCCTATTGGACATAACCTGTGCAACTCTTTCAAGCTTACCATAGATTAAATTTGATCATTGGCTC